AAAAAAAAAAAAAAAACAACCCCCAAATGCAAAAACCAGCATCTCCATGGGGCCAACATAAGACTGAGAAGTCTTTGGGGTACCTGCCTCCTGCAGTTCTGGGCCCCTTATTTTAACATCAGAAGGGTTTATAGATACCCCACTCTACAGCCAGCTGGAGAAGTTGGGTGTTTTTGGTACGTAGAATTTAGATTGCTCAGGGATGAAGTCAGTTAAATCTCTAAAACATAATTCTGTCACACGCATCTTTGCTTCTAAGGCTCGGGGGTGGGAGACCCATAGGTGCTAGGTATGGGCAGCAGGTGGCACTGTTAACCACTGAAGGTTCCTGCTGAGCAGACAGGCTTGACTTTGCCTTGGCTGGAGTAGGGCCGTCAGCCAGCACTCTCTGTGGTCTCAATTTTTGGACACGTGGTCTACACTGGTGCCAGCCATAAGACACAGTGGCTACCTTTCTGTTCCCTAACACACGGTGTCTTTCTGCAGGCAAGAAGGTTCAATTTCGGAAACCGGCCCCAGGCGTGACAGATGCTGTGCCCTCCCGGAAGCGGGCAACTCCCATTAACCTGGCAAGTGCCATCAGGAAGAGCGGCACTGGCAGCATGAGTGGGGGCAGTGGAGTGTCCCAGAGGCCCTTCCGTGACCGGGTGCTACACCTTCTGGCTCTCAGGCCCTACCGCAAGGCTGAGCTGCTGCTACGGCTACAAAAGGATGGCCTGGCACAGGCAGACAAGGATACACTAGATGGCCTTCTCCAACAGGTATCTGCTGTCTGATTCTCTACATGCGACTTTCTCAGATAGTCTTTCATAAATAGGATGGGCCAGACATTGAGACTTGGATTCTGGCCAGCTGGGTCCACAACCTACCTCAGAATGGGAACCTCCTAGGTTAGAACACACTTAGGGGTCATGGATGTGTCTCTGGGCATGGCACATGTCAGGGGGCTCCAGAGATCAGCTTATCCTGGAGGCCATGCCCTTGTCCTCTACCACTTGGTAACAAGTGGGCAGTGGGTCCCAAGCTTGCTGGATCCAAGGCTGCAGCTATAGATAGTTTATAGAATCAAGGTCTGAACAGGGAACCCACACATGTACATTAGAGCTGGGAAGGCAGACAAGCAGCTACACTGAGCCTCAGGCTCCCATTTTTGATGGGGATGCAACCCCACTGCCTATCTTGGGGGTCAGGGGCTAAGCCAGCAGGGGTATAATGCTGGCAGTGGAGCCTACTTTGAGTGATCCCCTCAGGTGGAACAGTAGGTATAGGAGCCCTGGATACTTCTCGCCACCCCTCCCTCTAGGAGCCTAGGAAGGCAGGTGACTGACACTGACTTCGAGACATCAGCTGGCTGTTTAGATGTTGCCTTGAGATGAATTAGGGATGACTCACCTCAGATCTCTGCTGTGGTCTAGAAGGAGGCATGGCTAAGCCCCCTGGGACTGTCAGGGTAGCATAGCAGAATATTTAGGGTCACATCTCCAGGTAGCCCATGCTTCACTTTCTATCTCAAATATTTTGGGAACATTGAGATGGCATCTCTTGTAATGGAGAGCACACACCATGATATGCTGTGACACGTGGCAGCTGTGCCTAAGGGTATATGTCCACATTTACTGCATTCATCACAAGGCTTCTCACACTCTGGAGCAGCCCAAGCAAGCCCCGTGTGCAACGTGCAGCACATTCCCTGGGAAGATGTCGGCTCAGCTCTCGCACACCACTTCTGCTCCTGAGGCAGGGCTGGCATGTCCCCGGCAGGGGTTGCTGAGAAGAACTTTATGAAATCGTCAGATGTGAGACCGGTGCTTGCCTGGCCAGGGAGTACCCAAGCCAGCCCCTTTCAGAGGACAAGAAAGAGGCCATACTGGACCCTGTCTTTGAGTGATTTTTGATTTGGTTCTCTTCAGTGGATGGGCCCAGCCACTGTCTATGGGCAGTGTCCTTTCACATGATCACTGTGGTCTCTCCTGAATGGTTTATCTGCCTCGTGCTCCTGTGTTTATTGTGCAGCTAGTTCTCCCCAGCAGTTTGGTGGGTGGGTGTGGGCAGGACCCCATCAGGTTGCAGAAGAGGAAGGTCTTGGGGATGTGCCTCACCTAGGCTGGTCATTTCTGGTCTCCCCAGGCCACCAGAAACTCTGAGCAACAATGAAGCCATACCCTTCAAAGACAAGAGCTCTTCCTCCTCTGGAAATAGACAAATCAAAGATGGAAGGCATCAATGTCTGGATCTGGCTGGGCCCAGGGGAAACTCATAGGCTTGTCCTTTGAGGGTAGGGTGTTGACATGTAAGTGATGTTTAGCAAAAGCTATCAAGAGCCATAAAAATGTTCAGCCTTTGACCTGATAATCCCACTTTTGGAACGCCTGCTGGAGGAAGCCTTCACCAACGTGGAAAAAACCTGGACACAGTGATGCCTGTTTATGCTACAGAGAAACTGGCAACATTGGTTATGTCCAACAGTGGAGATTAATCACTGGGTGGAATGTGACTCAACTGTTAAAAAAAAAAATGCTCCCTATGGACCCTGTGACCCTGAGCCCTCATGAGCTGTAGCTATAGCATAGAATAGTAGCTGCCTTTCAGCAGTGAGTTGGTGCCGCATGTGTGGTGAATGTCCTGGGTACTTAGAGGCAAGCAGGCAAGCAGTTGTTTAGGGCGGTGCCCTGGAGTTCCCTCAAACCCCTCTGAGGCAAATATTCTAGACCCATCTTTGCCAACTGTCTAGTTAACTGGCGAGAGCAGGGCAGACTGGTTTCTAGGAAGCCTAGCTCAGGCCTAGCTCCTGGATGGGCACCTCACTGGCACTCCTAGCCATGACCAACTCTGCCATGAACTGCCATTAGAAGCACCGAGCAGTGTGGTCTTGGGACTGTGTGTAGCAGTCCCCCTGTTCTAGAAACAGCTTGGCCTGTGGTGCCTGTAAGATAAGATTGAATCTGGTCCTCAAACTATGACTCATCCCTTCTGCACCCTGAGAGTTGCATGCTAGGGAGCTAAAGGTTGGGGGTGGCATAGGGTAGAAGTGGACCATTGCATCTTCTTTTGCTTCCTCTGTCTTGGCAGTTTGCTCACTTTCCTCTGTGTCTCTGCAATGCTCTCCGCTGTCATCAGATGTTTTTGGTGGCCTCTGTGCCTTAGGCTTCCCATAAGGTGATAGCTGGCTCTATCTTGCAGGTGGCCAATGTGAGTGCCAAGGATGGCACATGCACCCTGAGGGACTGCATGTACAAGGACGTGCAAAAGGACTGGCCCGGCTACTCAGAAGGGGACCAGCAGCTGTTGAAGCGGGTGCTTGTCCGGTAATGTGCCTCTAGTCCCCTACTGTATCCCTAATCCCCACACAAGTCAAAGCTCATCCCAAGGAGACTGGAGTAGTCTTGAGTAATCCAAAGGGTTGCAGGGTGGTAGAGTCCAACGAGGCCTCTCTGGCTGTCCTTTCCACTGCCCAGTGGCACCTCATGGCTTCCCATCTGGGGGAAGTAGCCCCCTCAGAGTGGGTTGGGGGATATGAGTCACCAACCTCAACCCTGACATCCTCAGAAGAAAGTCTCATTCCACCTTGGCTATCTTTAGCTATCCTCAAAGTCCACTTTTTGAGAAGAATCTCTCGAGAACACAAAGTGGAAAGAAACAAGGCAAAAGGCAAAGCAGAACTCCCTGCAGATGTGATTAAGCAGTGTTAATTAAATGCATCTACTCTCAGACTAATTGGGATCAGGGTCTGGCATGGTGTGAGCTGTGAGAGCAGCAGTTAGGGAGGCAGGTGGCTAATCATTTCCTTCCCTGTGGCCGCCTGCTTTGGGGAACAGGGCTGGGAAGCAGATCATTTAGAGCAGGTGGATATGCTAATTAGTCCTTAAGTGATTTCTCAGGGACTTTGAGGTATTTATGAGTTTGTTGTTGTTGTTTTGAAATTCAGCTGTTTAAAACAGTAATTACATCTGGAAAGCAGAGCGGAGCTGGGGTCACACTCCATGTGTAGCCAATATTTACATGCCTGTCCTGGGCCTGCTGGTCAAGGTCCCTTGGACCACTGCACTGGCTGGCTGGAGCTTGTCCTTGGTGCTCAGGGGAGACTGGCAGAGTACACACAGCCTTGGCAGAAGACTACTCCCTGTTCTCATGTTCCTTTCCTGGGGCTCTCAGACTAAGAGCCTTAGAGAGAACCTGCCAAGAGTAAGCAGAGCATTGCCTGCCAACGGGGTCCTGGGAAGCAATGTGTGGGCTGCATGTCTTCAGGTGGGAGCTTCGCCTGGATGTGTGCTCCAGAGCCAGCCTCTAGGTTGGGGCTCACGCCAGCCACAGGCACTCCACTATCACTTTAGGGATCTATATCTGTTATCCTCAGAAGCTTGAACTGGTGTGCAAGTCGATGTTCTTGCCACCCATAACTACATAAGGTGACCTGTAGATATAGCCTGTCTATATGGTGTGTGTTCAGATTCTTCCCTATTGGAAGAAAGCCCATTGTAGCAGTTCTTGGAGCCTTTGCCTCACATATAAGAAGTAAAAACAGGCCTTTGGGGTATTTCCTTTGTCACAGGCAGGCGTGGGGATGGATATTGCTGCAGGAGCCTCCCTCAGTTGAGCTGGAAGCCATGCCATGGCTCTGTCATTGGTTTCTCTGCTTGGTATTCTTTTTGTCCATCTTGTCCAATTCAAGCTCTCTATAGTTATCCAGTCACCTCTCATTACTGTCAGGGAGCCTGCAGACAGACCCTCCTGACTCCTTTGCCTGAGCCACACACTGCCCCAGTGCCCTCACTGCCCACTGGAGTTTCTGCCCTCTTATGTGGGCCTCCTGAACTGGGCTCTGCTCTACCTCCTGCTCCTATCTAGACACAGCTCCTGGGACTGGGCGGGCTGTTTGCTGTGTCTTCATCTCTAGGTGACAGTCCTGCTGAGTTGGTGGTAGACTTAGAGCCAAAGGAGCTCTCCTTCCATGTTTAGAGTCAGAGGCTTCCTGACCCTTTGTTTAGTCCATGCCACAGGACGGCTGGGCATCTAATGTAGTCTGAAAACTCACCTTATGTGTCCCTCTTCCATCCCACATGTGGTCATGGAAAGACCTAGTTGTGCTTCCTCCAGTTTCCTCTGCTTCTCCCTTAGGTGGGCTGCCTACTGTATTTTGTCATTCTCATCCCAGTTTTCTTTTCTTTCTTTTTGATTCTACTTTTGGGAGATTTTTTTTCAGCTTTTCCCATCCTGTCTCTATTTTGCTATCATTTAGAGTTTCCCTTCCCCTTCCCTTTGAGACAGGGTCTCAATTGTTACCCAGACTAGAATGTAATCAGCTAGCCCACTGCAGCACTGAACTCCTGAACTCAGGTGATCCTCCTGCCTCAGCCTCCTGAGTAGCTGGGCCTGCGGGTGCCTGGCTAGTTTTTTGGGTTTTGTTTTTTGTTTTGAATAGAGACAGGGTTGGTTGCAGCTCTTGCTCAGGCTGGTCTTGAACTCCTGAGCTCAAGTGGGCCATGGCACCTGGCCTCATTTCTGTTTTCTGAGAGTGTTCCCAGTTGTTCTTCTGTAGCATTATGTTCTTATTTCATGGAAGCAGTGTTCTTTTTAATCTAATCTCTCTAAGGATGTCACACATAGTAGCTTTGTGAGATGTAATTCATGTAATACAAATTGCCCATTTGTGGCATGGTGCCTGTAGCTCAACGGCTAAGGGTGCCAACCACATACGCTGGAACTGATGGGTTCAAATCCAGCCCAGGCCTGCCAAACAACAATGACAACTGCAACCAAAAAAAAAATAGCTGGGCGTTGTGGCAGGCTCCTATAGTCCCAGCTACTTGAGAGGCTGAGGCAAGAGAATCACTCAAGCCTAAGAGTTGGAGGTTGCCGTGAGCTCTGATGCCATGGCACTCTACTGAGGGCAACAAAGTGACACTCTGTCTCAAAAAAAAAAAAAAAAAAATTGCCCATTTGTGATTGCATGTCCCTGATACTTCCACCATGGGGTTGTGACTGTTAAAGTGAAAACTCAGTGGCATTAGATATGTTCAGATGATTAGAACTAGATTCAGCCATGGAACACCTCTTTCTAGTTCCAGAATATTTCATCTCCTCTAAAACAAAATCTGTCCCCATTTGCAGTCACTCCCCATTCCCCCTTCCCCAGCCCCTGGCAGCCACCAGTCTGTCTTTCTCTGTGGATTTGCCTGTTCTGGACATTTCATACAACACCTGGCCTTTGGTATCTGGCCTCTGACTCTGCTTCATGTTTTTGAGGTTCGTTCATGTTAAAGCAAGTGTCAGTGCTTCATTCCTTTCTATGGCTGAATAATATTCCATCGTGTAGATATGTCATATTTATCTATTGGTGGAAATTTGGGGTTTTTTCCCCACCTTTTGCCAAATGCAGACAGAGCTGCTAAGGACATGCAGTGTACAAGTGTTTGCATGGGTTTTTCCTTCTCGAGCAGTGTCAGGAAGCATCTAATGGCTGTTTTGAATCTGTTAGACTGCAGCCACACAGTCACCCAGGTTGGGTAAATAAGAAATCAAATCTTATAAGCACTGAAATCTGCCCCCCATGGTTTGGTGCCCATAGTTCAGTGTTTAGGGTGCCAGCCACATGCTCCAGGGCTTTTGGGTTCAAACCCAACCTGGACCTGCTAAACAACAATGACAACATCAAGAAAAAAATAGCCAGGCGTAGTGGTAGGCGCCTGTACTGCTTACTTGGGTGGCTGAAGCAAGAGAATCACTTGAGCCCAAGAGTTTGAGGTTGCTGTGAGCTATGACACAATAGCACCCTACTGAGGGCAACATAGTAAGACTCTGTCTCAAAAAAAAAATCTGCCCCTACTCTACATCTGCAAAGTAGGGCCACTGGGGTTCTTTGATCACTCACATCACCTCATGGGGCTATTGGGTTATTTCCAGTTTTGCTGCTGTGAATAGTGTATGTGAGGGTTTATATGGACATAGGTTTTCATTTCTCTAAAAGAGTGTTTTTCAATCTTTTTTTTTTATCTCACAGCACTCTTGAACCAAGGCACACTTAAATTATGTTGACAAAATTTTAAAAAAAGGATATACTTACTGTGGTTTGGATTTTTTTCAAAAATGAGTTAATGATCTTTAAAAATTTTGGTGACACATCTAAGATCCTCTCAGGGCACACCATTGCACCTGAGCAGGTTGAGAATCATTGCTCTAAAACATACCAAGGAGTGGAATTGTAACTGTTCTGTGTCTCACTTTTTATTTTATTTATTCATTTTTTTTTTTTTTAGAGACAGAGTCTCACTTTGTCACCCTAGGTAGAGTGCCGTGGCGTCACAGCTTGCAGCAACCTCCAGCTCTTGGGTTTAAGCAATTATCTTGCCTCAGCCTCCTGAGTAGCTTTGACTGCAGGTGCCTGCCACAACGCCCTGTTATTTTTTTATTGCAGTTTGGCTGGGGCTGGGTTCGAACCTGCCACCCTCAGTATATGGGGCCAGCGCCCTACAGGTGCTGCTCTATGTTTCACTTTTTGAGTATCCTCCACACACTCTTCTTCCCTTTAAGATGATCCACTTAAAATCTCACCAGCAAGGCTGGGTGCAGTGGCTCATGCCTGTAATCCTAGCACTCTGGGAGGCCAGAGTGGGTAGATTGATTGAGCTCAGGAGTTCGAGACCAGTCTGAGCAAGAGTAAGACCCCATCTCTACTAAAAATAGAAAAACTGAGGGAAGAAGATCACTCCAGCTCGGAAGTTTGAGGTTGCTCTGAGCTATCACACCACACCACACCACACCACACCACACCAAAACATAACACTCTATCCAGGGTGACAGAGTGAGACTCTGTCTCAAAAAAAAAAAAAAAATCTCAACCAGCAGTGCACAAGGATTCTAGTTTCCCCAGGTCCTTGCCATCACTTGTCATTTTCTCTTTTTTTGATTCTAGCTATCCTCATGGTTGTGAAGTGGTGTCTGCTTGTGGTTTTGATTTACATTTCCCTGATGAGAGTTGAGGTCAAGCATCTTTTTGTGTGCTTATTGAGCATTTGTATGTTTTCTTAGGAAACATATCCATTCAAATCCTTAGGGTTTTTTTTTTTTTTCTCTTGAGGCAGAGTCTCACTCTGTCGCCTTTGGGAGAGTGCCATGGCATCTCAGCTTACAGCAACCTCAAACTTTTGGGCTTAAGCGATTCTCTTGTCTCAGCCTCCCAAGTAGCTGGGACTACAGGCTCCCGCCACAACGCCCAGCTTTTTTTTTTTTCTTCTGTCAAGAGAGGGTCATAACTGTTGCCCAGGCTGGAGTATAATGATGCAGTCATAGCTCACTGAAGACTCCAATTCCTGGGCTCAAGTGATTCTCCTGCCGCAAACAACTGAGTAGCTGGGACTACAGGAGCACACACCTGGCTTTTTTTAGGCGATAGAGTCTCCCTTTGTCACCCTGGATAGAGTGCTGTGTTTTCATAGTTCACAGCAACCTTAAACTGTTAGGTTCAAGTGATCATCTTGCCTCATCCTCTCAAGTACCTGGGACTACAGGCTCCTGCTACAAATGCCCAGCTACTTTTAGAGATAGTATCTCACTCTTGTTCAGGCTGGTCTCAAACTCCTGAGCTCAGGCAATCCACATGCTTCAGCCTCCCAGAGTGCTAGGATTACAGGTGTGAGCCACCATGCCTGGCCTGGCTAATTTTTTAATTATTTATTTTTGTGAAGATGGGCTCTCATGGTTTCAGCACCCGTAGCTCAATGGTTAAGGTGCCGGCCACATGCACCGGCTCTGGTGGGTTTGAACCCAGCCTGGGCCTACTAAACAACAATGAAAACCACAACAATAAAATAGCCAGGCATTCTGGCAGATTCCTGTAGTCCCAGCTACTTGGGAGGCTGAAGCAAGAGAATCGCTTAAGCCTAAGAGTTTGAGGTTGCTGTGAGCTGTGACCCCAGGGCACTCTACCAAAGGTGAATAGTGAAACTGTCTCAGAAAAGAGAAAAAAAAAAAAAAGTATGGCCTCTTACTATGATGCCTAGGCTGGTCTTGAATTCCTGGTCTCAAGCAATCCTCCTGCCTTAGTCTCCCAAAGTGTAGGCAATGCAGGCATGACCCAGCTTGCCCACCCTCAAATCCTTAATGTTTCTAAGGATATTAAAGCTGGTGTTTTTGTCGATTTATATTTTTTAACATTTTTCTTCAGAGAAAAATAACCCTTACAGAGTCCTTTTCTCCTTTCAAATGCATTTTCTTATCTGTTTTGGGGTCTGGCATTTGTTGCTTAGAAGCCCTGGTGCAGCCTTTTGAGAACATTCCTCTGGGTAGCTCAGCTTCCTTCAGGGTAGCTGCTGTGGTGTCTCTGATCACCACATGCTCCAGTCCTAGGCTCTCTTTGTTTCCTTGTCTTCCGACACCGCATATCTGTCCCTCCTGTTTTCCAGGTGTGGCCCAAGAGGCTTCCCAACCACCTGGAGCCCAGGCTGTTCTGCTACCAGATGTGCCCTGCAGCCCCACTAGCATTGAGCAGGACCCAGAGTGGGGCTGTATGTGGGGGGCCAGGAGCCCCAGAGGCTCTCACTCTAAGCCTTGGACCCCATCCTCTGGGGTCCTGTGAGATGGTCACCACTTACATGCTTCTGTGTTAAGCTTTCAAATGTCATTGCTTTGTTTCTCCCTATCTCCATCTTGCCTTCTCAGTGGGGGTTTGAAAGAGTGTGGACATAAACACCTGTCCTTTTTCTGTCTTTAACCAGAGCTCTATTTGTTTCCATTTGACTCTCCATGGTTCTCCTGCCACCTCGGAAGGGACAGTCGCCATGGACCAGTGCTAAGGCTGTACACAAGCTCTGGTCATTGCTGTTTGGACCATTGTTCACCATAGCCTCAGACCCAGTCCTCCCTGGGGGGTGTGGAAGGCTCTGTCTGAGGCTCCCCTGAAACACACAATCCCTGGGAGTTGGAGAGTTGGGTCAGAGAGAAGGCCTCTTGCTTGACCTGCTCACGTGGGGGAGGAAGAAGGGGTGTGCATGGGGGTATCTCTTCCCTTGTCCCCGGCTGTATCATTTTGCTCAGTTGTAGTGGGGCAGTGGCTGCTCAAGATGGTTCTTTGAGCAGGGCTTCCTGTGACAGGAAGGCCATCCTATCCTTTTTACAATGACTGTTGCTGGCAGAATGAATAGTTGTCTTTAAAAGTAGAGTTCAGGCTCAACACCTGTGGCTCAAGTGGCTAAGGCGCCAACCATGTACACCTGAGCTGGCAGGTTCGAATCCAGCCTGGGCCCACCAAACAAAAATGACAGCTGCTACCAAAAAATAGCCAGGTGATGTGGCAGGCGCCTGTGGTCTCAGCTACTTGGGAGGCTGAGGCAAGGCAATCGCTTAAGCCCAGGAGTTGGAGGTTGCTGTGAGCTGTGATGTCCTGGCACTCTACCTAGGGTGACAGCTTGAGGCTCTGTCTCAAAAAAGAAAGAAAAAAAAAAAAACAAGTAGGGTTCAGTGCCCCAGTATATGCCCTGGTCTCCATGGTAGCAGGCATCTAAATGAATGGGTGGCCAGCTGATCTTTCCTGGGTGCAAAAGAATGCTAAACAGGCAAGTCCTTCTGAGCATAGGACATGCTCAGGCTTGGGTTCCCGGGATCTCCCAGTGAGTTCAGCCCTGCTGTGGGTGTAGGGGTGGTATGTCCCTCCAGTGAGGCATCTTCCCTTACCTGATCTAGCCCTGCCTGTCTTTACAGGAAGCTGTGCCAGCCACAGAGTACAGGTGGCCTCCCTGGAGACCCTGCTGCCTCTAGCCCTCCTAGTGAGCATGGGAGTTCAACTTCACCACCTCAGGTAAATGGAGTGGATGTGGGCGTTATGCTAGTAGTGATGGGAGGGGACGGGGCATTCATGGCTCCTGTTTAGAGCCCATCCCAACACCTCATCCACCTGCTCTGCTGAGGCTGGGGATATCCTCACCTAACCTAGCTGTGGACCGGCAAGTCTGAGGTGACCATCTAGAGCACCTACAGGGAGCATTGTCACTTTTGTCACCAGCTCCTTGGGAATGTGACTTATCCTGAGCTGTCCTGTGTCTACCCTGCAACCACAAGGGCTGGTACGCTGGGTTCCTGTGAGAATGGCAGCAACACTCCTGTGTTGCTCCGGGAACACTGCCTAGGAGGTTGAGTGGCTTCCAGCTTGGGGCCACCCTATGTCCTTTGGCCTCCTGCTCCCATGACTCTAGGCTCTATCCTTAGAGTCAATGTGCTGTGCACTTCAGACCATCTTCCAGAGGTGGCCTTATGACTATATCCCTGCCAGTGGGGCAAAGTCCTCTTGTCCAAACTCTATGCACCTTAGGCCTGGCTTGGTATCCTGGTGCCCCCATGTGGCCAGAGTGGGCCCTGCATGGGCACAGGGTTTCCTTACTCAGGCGTGGTACCTGCTTGCTCCTCTGGCTCCTAGCTGCCCTCTGAAATGTTCCTTCCCAGAAACGGACACAGCCTCCTGAGTTCATCGATCCCTTGGCCAACAAGAAGCCCAGGATTTCTCACTTCACTCAGAGAACACAGCCTGCTGCTGTCAATGGGAAGCTGGGCATGCCCAACGGTCGTGAGGGCCTGCTGCCTACCCCGGGCCCACCGGCCATCTCAGACGTCCTCAGCTCCAGCACCCACCCTCCCTCACGGTTGGAGCCCTTGAGGGCCCATGACCCTCTGGCTGACGTGAGCAATGACCTGGGCCACAGTGGCCGGGACTGTGAGCGTGGGGATACGGCTGCCCCAGGCCCTACTGCACGCCTTGGCTTGCCTCTGCTGACGGACTGTGCTCAGCCCAGCAGGCTCCACGGTGGCCCCTCACGCAGCAAGTCCAAGAAGAAGTCCAAGAAGCACAAAGATAAGGAGAGGGTAGCTGAGGACAAGCACCAGACCCAGCCACCAGACCATACGCCTGCCATCCATGGAGCCTCGCCAGACACCCCAAGTAGGTTCTGAGGCAGGCCTGGGTGGGGGGATCTGCAGGAGGGCACTGCCCCGTACCACCCTCACTTTCAAGGGGTTAAGGGGCTTCAGTCTACAGGAAGCTGCAGACATGGGGCCATGCTCCTGCAAGTCCCCCATTAAGGCTCACTTGCATCCATCCCTTTGTACCGTTTGTCCTTGTACCTCATCATCTCTCCACCCCTCTGGAGTATAAGTTCTCAGAGTGCCCTGGTGATTTGAGCCCTGTTATGCTCACAATCACTGTCACTGTGTGCCAGGCCACATGGGTGACATGCACTAAGGACGGCTCCCAGGCAGTTGTGGCTACAAGGAAGCCCTGAACACTGAGAAAGAGGATGGTGCCAGGGTTTGCTGGGAGTCAAGCAAGGTGGACGGGGCTTCCTAGCCCCACTTACAGAGACACAGGGCAGGTGGAGGTGGACAGAGCCTACAGTAGAGGGCTAGCACCCAGACCACTATGGCCTTCTGCAGCCTACTGGGAAGTATAGGTTTTCACCTGTGGGGAAAGGATTTGGGGGAACAGGGAAGCCAGAAAGACCTGGATGCCAGCAGCAGGGCCAGGGTGTGTGAGCTGGCAGTGGGGGCTTCTCTATGTTGTGGGGGAGTCATTAGTGCTAGGGTCCTGAGCAGCTGCAGAGACAATGCCCCACAAAGCTCCTGATTTACATTAATTGGTATAAAGCAGCAGTGAGAAGGTACCCCAGCTGAGTAAGGCAGGGGCTGTTGTGTCATTGCAGGCAGTGGTGGCACAGGTGGCTGCCTCATTATCCAGCATTAGCTGACCAAGGGCAGCCCAGGCTATGTTGCCTGCTGCCCATTTTGGATTTTTTCCCAGAAAGGATCCCAAAGGAGGGGGTATTTCTGGAACTAGAGTGGGAGCCTCTCTTTTTTTTCTTTGAGATAGTCTCACTATGTGGCCCTTAGTAGAGTGCCGTGCGTCTCAGCTCACAGCAACCTAAAACTCTTGGGCTTAATCGATTCTCTTGCCTTAGCCTCCCTAGTAGCTGGGACTACAGGCACCTGCCACATTGCCCAGCTATTTTTTGGTTGTAGTTGTCATTGTTTGGCAGGCCTGGGCTGAATTTGAACCCGTCAACTCCGGTGTATGTGGCTAGTGCCCTAGCCGCTAAGCTACAGGCACCAAGCCAGGAGCCTCTCTTTTGTCAGTTTTGTTTGAGTTGCCCACCTGCCCTCCAAAAAGCCACATCCTCTCTCCGGGCTGAGGGAGAGAAGGAATCTCGTGGCCCAGTTGGATCTGTCCTGTCTCATGCAGGGCTCAGCAGTTCCCATAGGCCCTTGTATGTGGGCCAGGTGACAGGAAGAAGGCGTGGGCTGTGCCCAGGCAGGTCACCCAATCCCCAGACTAGACCCATATCCCACAGCCAGACCCAGGCCAGGAAGACATACAACCCAGGCCAGTGCCACATGGAGGGCTTAGAGGTGGCTTCTGATCCTGCATGGTGTGTGTCAGCCCCGAGGACTACAAGCTGGGGAGTAGGTGTCCCCAGCAACAGGAAGCAGGCAACTGATACACCAGAAGCCATTGCTAGGCCAGGTGGTCTGTCTCACCTAGGGTGGTACGTGTGTAGGGGGTAGCTCAGGGCCTCCATCCAGGGGTGTCAAGGATAAGCCAGTGGAGAGATAGTGGCTGTGAGAGAAAGATGAACACTGAGGGGGTGTGCCAGGGGATCCGCTCAGCCAGCCACCCATAGCTGGTGCCTGGGCAAGAGCAGGATGTCTTGGGTTTGCTGAGAGCTGACCTGAAAGGTACCACGGGTACCAGATCCACCTGACTCTGAGCCTGGTAAAGATTTGAGGATTAAATGAAGTGATGCTGACCAAGCCCAACATGTGGTAGTCGTCATCCATTCCAGAATGCTTGGGGAGGCCTGGCCCACCATATGGCCGAAGTAAGGGCTCAGCCCCATCCAGTGTGCCTTGCTTGTCACTGCCTCATGTGTCACTGCCTAAGGCCCAAGCCAGAGCCAAATAGCCCATCTCATGCTACAGCCCTGGAGAGGCCACAGCCTCTTAAAGACAGCCAAAGTGGTGATGGCATTGATACCATATGAAGCCCTCACATGGCCCTGTGTGAGGGTGTTAGGGCCTTGGGGTGAGTTCATACCCATTGTGCAGCCCCTGCAGGGCAGATAGCTGAGTGAGCCAGGAGAGGGCTCTGCAGACACAAGTGTGTGGGTGGGCTGCTTCCCCTGCAGGCGGCCTGAGGGATGTAAAAGAAAATGTGTACTGAGCATACACTGTAACATGATAAAATCATTTCTGTATTGGAAAAAAGGCCCTCTGGAAGGTGGTGTGAGAAAAACGTGCCAAATTACAGTTGCTTTCCTATGGGGTGGGTGTGGTGAGTGCCTCACTTCTCCACCCACCCACAAATGCTGGGGTTCTTGCAATGTGGTGGGGGGCAGACCACCAGATGGCCAAGGAACAGGATAGGCACCTGGGACTTGTCTGGCCATTGACCATGAGCAGCTTGAAGCCAGGTTCCTTCTGCATTGAAGAGAAAACGTTACCAACAATCACATGTCCTTGTGTTCCACTCATGATGGCTGATCTGGCCCGTCCAGCCAGCCCTGTTTTGAGCTGCCTCAAGGTGTTGGGACGGTCCAGGTGGGGCTCCAACTAAGGGCTAGAGGCACAGGCCCTGCGAGCTGCGTTGTCTTTGCCCTTTGTGGCCCGAGACCGAGGATGCCCCAGGGATTTGGATCATGCCAGTGGTCATTTGTTTTCAACCCAGTGACCTTTGACACACAGTGGATGCAGCAAAAGCCTTGCTCCTGTCAAGCTGTGGACAGGTTACACAGGCTTTGGCCCTCTGGTTAACCTGACCTGTCAGCTGCTTGCCAAGAATGTGACCGAGGACATGCAGGTGCATGCTGTGTTTGGCTGGCCACTTGGGGGTGCTCCTGGGTCCAGTGGCTGAAGGTGCCTGGCTCCAGAGAGCTTGGGTACCCCCTCCAGACCACCTCCCCGTCCCTCACATAGCAAAATGTGCATTTTCTGCAAATATCCCCATTCTGGTGTTCCTACTGCACACCACTGCTGGGAGTCTGGCAGAGTGTTTGTTCTTATAGGTTTAAATGGAACTTGTGGCTGTGCCAGTGTGCCCACGTCAACGTCGGAGATGCCGGACTATTTGCTGTGAGTCCTCGTGGGGCATCCCTTTTCTGGGTTCACACCCCTTCTCCCCAAGCTTAGCAGAGGCAGAACCCAAAAAGCATAGTGTGCTCCGGGCCAAGGTTACTCACAAGGTCATAGTGCTTCTGCCTGGGTGGGGCAGAATGTTTCCAGCCTTACCTTAGCAGTCCCAAGCCACGATGGCTTCTCTCTCCCACCTCCTCAGAAAATACGCAGCCATCTCCTCCTCAGAGCAGCGCCAGAGCTACAAGAATGACTTCAATGCCGAGTACAGCGAGTACCGTGACCTACATGCCCGGATCGAGCAGATCACTCGGAGGTTCACGCAGCTGGATGCCCAGCTCAGGCAGCTGTCTCAGGGCTCTGAGGAGTACGAGGTAGAGCCCCTCTCCACCCTGTGTCTGGGCTCTGCAGGGGCCGGAGTCCACAAGCAGCAGCAGCATCAACACCACAAGTCCTTCCACCCCTCCTGAAGAGTCACTCCCTGCCTCCTAGCCAAGGGCTCAGGGCAGTACTTCTCTCTCTGATACTGAGTGCCCCTTGCACATGCCACTGCTGGGATGTCTGGCCAACTCTGAAGCTTTGCCATAGGAGTCCTTGAAAGTGACCTAGGACACAGAGCTTTCTGTACCCACATCATGGGCCAAACCATGGGAGATACCCATAGCTGAGACCCAGGGATTATCAGTGCTGCTGCAACAGAGGGAGGTAGTAGGGCGTGGAAGGTCCCTGTGGTCCCCAGTATCAGAAGTCCTTTGGGCTTGGGGACGTGGGCTCCCTTAGCTGCCGTATATGGGGAGAGTCTTCATCTTTAGCCACCAACCCTGGATGCCACCTTCCAGAGCTGATCACCTGGCTGTATGGCTGGGCCCTGATTCATCCCTGGTATCTCACCTGGGGAGGCCTCTTTCATTTCCAAAGGGAACCTCGTGATTAGAGGGACTCTGGACAATTTTGAGGCATGGAAATGAGCTTCTAAGATGCCCCCTGAGCTCCCTGAGCAGCAGCCAGGGCCAGCTGGGACAGGGGAAGGCAGCACCCCACCTGCGTGTGCAGCCTTCCTGGGCTCCAACAGCCTGATCCCCAGGTCCCTGCTCCCAAAGCCTCTCTCTGGCCTGAAACTTTCTCTTGCCCTACCCACTGCCTGGGGCCCTGTGACTGTGGGCTCCTGGGGCGCTGCTCAGGGTGCTTCTGTGCCAGAAGCTGCCTTGCCCCACCTCTCCCTCCGCCACCCTGTGCAGAAACATCTGCCATTCAACTTGGGTTCTTATAAGCAAGGGCATTACTTGTTTTCTCTTTTGTTTTCCCTCCAGACTACTCGTGGGCAGATTTTGCAGGAATATCGAAAAATTAAAAAGGTGAGTCTCCATTGCATTGCAGCAGAGTGGGAGGGAAGGGGTGTCAGAAGCAGCTAGTTCAAAGAGAGCCTAGGTGAGGTGAGTAATGAGCCCCGGTTGGGCCTGAGACCTGCTTCCTAGTCCCACCTCTTACAGGGAGTAACTCAGCCTATCTGGTTAGCTTGGGCAGGGCCTTACTAGGCATCTCCCTCCCTAGCTGGTGGTGTTAACCCCCATGCTCTTGCTGGCTCCCTCCAAGGTGTGAGGGAGGAACTTTTGGGTCTCCAGCTGCTGAGTCATGCCCCAGCTACACATGCAGGGACCCCACTTTGCCTTGCACCGAAACATTGGGCATTGAGCCCAGAATGGAGGGTTCTGGTCTGAGGGAAGTGGCTTTGTGGTGGGCACTGGCCTGCTGGGGCGTGGAGGCACTGACGTTGGGCCTGTGGTTCTCCCACAGACCAACACCAACTACAGCCAGGAGAAGCACCGTTGCGAGTACCTGCACAGCAAGCTGGCCCACATCAAGCGGCTCATTGCTGAGTACGACCAGCGGCAGCTGCAGGCCTGGTCCTAACTGTCTACCCAACCTCGCCCTTCCTGGCAGTCAGGATGGCTGGGGGTGGGGGGTGGGGGGGCAAAAGAAGGGAGAAAGAGGATTTATTTAAAAAAATAAACATGAGTAAGACACACTCATCTGAGCCAGCACCGCTGGCTTTCAGGGGAATCCCTGCAGACTTCCAGGCCAGGTCGGGTAGCTTTAAGCCCACCTGTGGCCCTTCCTGCACCTCTTGAGCAGCCCCAGATGGGCTCCTGGGCAGACCACCTCCTTCTTTGGGGGCTTCAGCTTCCTATCTTGCAGAAAGATTCTGAGGCCAGAAAGACTCTGAGGCTGGCCTTTTCTAGTTTTATACAAAGACAGCCACACTTTTAGCTATTGCTAATGAGACTTGAGTCTATTTTTGTACAAAAGAGAAAGCAAAATCTTTTTTTCTAAACCTGTGCCTCCCTCCCCTTGGATGCCCAGGGTCTAGACACTGCCCAGTGTCCTTTCTGCAGTATTACAGAGGCCGTCAGAAGGTACCACATGTCCTAGAGCTTGGGGCAGGGGGTCAGAGTCTCTGTGCTGGGCTTTGGCCACATTTTGAGGCCTTCCTCTACTCTCTCCGAGGAGTCTGCTCTTGTCAAACAAAAAGGTAGCCTGGGGGTGGCTGTTTCAAGAGCTCCAGCAGTACTCTTGGGTAGCTGGTGGGAACCCAGGTGTGGCAGAGAGCTGTGGGCCCAGGCCTGCCCTGTTATTTCAGGCCCCTAGCTGTCAGGGCCTCTGGTGTCTCTATGTTCCAAGCTGTGTGCTACAGCAGCAGATTTTACTTTACAATGTCCTTGGTTTCCCCCTTTGCTGCTGCTTCCCTGTTTCCCATTGGCCTGTCTCCATCCCTCCATCCACTTGTGGGTCCCAGGGTTGTTTTGGCAGAGCCACCACCAATGTTTGCACTCAGGGAGGGGTGGGGGTGAAGCTCTGGGGTCAGGGAGGCCCTGGGGCCCATGGCCAGAGCAGAAGGAACCAGAAGGATGGGTCTGTCCATTCTTAGGGTAGGGGAGCACAGGCTCTGTGGACACCCCAGTTGCTGCTTTGTTGCTGTGCCTAGTGTCCTCATGTCCCCCAAAGCAGCAGGAGGCATGCGTGTGTATGTGCATGTACGTGTGTGTAGCGACCCACCAGGGTGCGGTGGGGTCTGAGGTGTGTGTTCCCATTTAGAGCCGAATGAAGCCATGACTTGGGGAGGTGGTGGGAGGTAGCAGTGACCCAGAGCCCTGGGAGCCCGTGTGGGGGTCACAGGGTCACTGCTGCCAGCAGTAAGGCAGGGAGAGCAGAAGTGCACAAGCCTAGATGTGTCTATTTTTTTAAACTGCAGGGGTACCCGTAATGGTTTCCAAAGAACTGGTGCCCCGTAGAGGTGCCTGTAGTGCATCCCACCCCGCCCCAAAGTCTCTTTCCTTTGGGACCCTAAGTTCCAGAGCTCCAAGAAAACTGATCCTTCCTGTTACAATAGCTGTTGTTTTGTTTTTCATTTGGGATGAGGTGGAGAAAAGGGCTGAGCAGCTCTGCACAGTCATGTTGTATAGACTGTGCGCAGCCCAGACATGCAGATGCAGGGTAATAGGATTATTTAAGGAGGGCCCAGTCCAGAGGGCCAACTGCTCCCCTGCCTTGAGAACGTGTTCAAGGGACTCTCAGTTGAATTTGCCTTTTTGTTGTTGTTTGTGTTTGTTCATTTGTTCTCCTTTTAAGGAATTATGAAGCTAAGGAAAGTTTTGTGCTTTGGGGGTTGGTGGACAAAAGTTGTAGCTGATTAAATATTGTCTAACTTATTGATACTGTTTTTTTTTTTCTTTAATGTTGTACTGTGGAGAAAAACTATTTTGAGCCATGGAGTTGGTGTTTACAAGAACTTTTCACTTTTGCCAAAATGTTACAATTGAAAGGCATCCCGTCTTCAGTTTCCTAATATTTTCTTAAAAGATCTAGTGTCCTTTTTGTACACTAAACTGGTGAATGCTGATTTTTTTCAACCTACAATAAATTTCACTGAACTGAATCCAGCAGCCCAGGCTGCCTGGCTGGAGTGTGTGTGTCACAGCCGGGTTTCTGTGGTGGCCTGGAGGAGCCCCTGGTCCTATGATTGGGGGTGGGCCATAACTTGGCACAGAGCTGTCATGGTGGTGAGGACGGAGTGCATGGGGGCTCAAGTTTGGACGTGGCAGAGAAGACCTTCACAGCTCACCAGGGCCATTGCACAGGAATGAGAACCAAGGTAGAGGACCACACAGTCCAGGGTCAGGAAGCCATACATACTAGCTGTAATGCAAGTAGAAAGAGACTTGGGGGCAATGGGGAGCCAAAGTAGTTGTGTGAGCCCAGCAGGAGGAATCTCTTGGCTTCCTGCAGCAGCAAGGCCCATAGGACTGGACCCAAGTGGGGTGATTACTTAGGGGGAACAAACTGTGACTCTTTAATCTCTGATGAAAACAGCATTGGGTACTAGCAATGCTTTATTGTCTGTTCCTCCCAGCCCAACACACTGGGGAAGGGGCATCCCTGTACCACCCTTGGGGACAGGGATGCTAAGCCTTAGTGAAAATTACCATCTTGTCCTGAGTTCCAGGTGAGGAGCAGGAGGCACAGAGAACACAGAGCAATGGTCCTGCCCTCCAAAGATGAGGATGGAGTAGGCACCAAATTTTTTTTTTTTTTTTTTGAGACAGTCTCACTTGGTCACTCTGGGTAGAGTGCCCTGGCATCATAGCACCTAGCAATGTCATATTTTGGGGCTCAAGTGGTCCTTTTGCCTGAGCCTCCCAAGTAGCCGGGACTACAGCTGTCTACCACAATGCCCAGCTATTTTTAGAGACTCAGGCTGGTCTCGAATTCCTGATCTCAAGCAGTTCACGCACGAAAGTGCTAGTGCACACCTATTTGATAAGGAAAGACAAACCTGGGACGGAAGGGTTCCCGGGGTCAGCAGCTGTGGGTCTGTCCTTGCCTTCCTACTGGACCTTGACCTTGGCCTGAGTTCTGAGGTGAGCCAGGAATCTGAGGGGTGTGGGAGGAGAAGTCAGGCAGGCCAGCAGGGCAGTGTGTACCCTGCCCCACTGTATGGTCTGGCCATGCCGTTCTTCCAGGGGATAATATCTCTGTCCTCATAGCTCATGGTTGATACTCCCCACTTGCATCCTCACTGTCCTCCCCAGCCACCTCCCCTGGCCCTAGGCTGCCAGTCTTAAGCACACTGGCTAGCAGCCTGCTGGCTGACAGCCCACTGAGGCCACAGCCAGTCCCCTGGGACCCAGAAGGGCTTCCCCACCCGCATGCCCTGGGCACCTTGGCAGATGGGCTAAGGGCTGCCTACCCGTTCTTGCCATTTGCAGGATAGTGTCCCCGATGTTCTCTTACTACCAGCACCCCTATTCCAATAGCCCCTTCTGTGTGCCAAGCTCCACTTGAGCCCTGGGACACAGTGGTGACTGAGCCCTGTTGCTGCCTTCCAGTAGCCCAGAGTCTGGTGGGGGATGGGGGTGCCTGGCCTTAGCACCCAGCCCAGGCAGTGCACCGGCCCCTGACTGGTCCCATCTGACTCCCCTGCCCTCCCTTCAGTCCCTACAGTCACTCACAGCGCCAAGTGCTGGGAGTGGAAGCAGCCAGCTGATGCCACCTCCCAGTCTTCTGCTGGCACTCCCCAGAGGCTGCCCTGTCAGCACAGAGGCTCCTCAGGGCTGTGTCTTGGTGCCTTTCCCCCCTTATCTGCACACATTCCTATGTCACGTGTTGCTTCAAGGCATGGTAACTCTTGATTCTCTGATCTTCTGATACCCATTGGATGTCCAACAGTTCAGTTCCCAAAGATAGCATCAGATGCCACAAGTTAAGGGGCTCAGTTCTACAGGCCTTCCCCCACAGCTGTGGTGGTCAAAATTCCTGCCACCTGTACTTTTGACCAGCAGCAGGCTGCAAATTGGGGGTCCCACACAGCCCCCATCTCAGCTTGATAATTTGCTAGCTTAGGAAAATGCTAACAGCCCTTTGGAGGAGATACATAAGGTGAGATAAAGAGATGGGGCTTCCCTGTCCTTTCCTGTCATGCCTGACTTCTCCCACACCCCTCAGATTCCTAGCTCACCTCAGAACTCAGGCCAAGGTCCAGCAGGAAGGCCAGGACAGACCCACAGGGGTGTCACCCTTCTAGCACTCCTCTGTCTATACTTAAACCCCTTTGTTTAGGGTTAAAACATTTTAGAGACAGGGACAAACTTCTGGGATCAAGTGACCCTTCCACCTCAGCCTCCCAATTAACTGGGTAGCTGGGGCCATTGCCTTTGTTCAGGGTTTTGTTGTTGTTTTTAAGGCAGTCTCAAGCCATTGCCCTTGGTAGAGTGCTGTGGCATCATAGCTCACAGCAACCTCCAATTCTTGGGCTCAAGCGATCCTCTTGCTTCAGTTTTTCTGTTTTTTAGTAGAGACAGGGTCTCACTTTTGCTCAGGCCGGTCTCGAACTCATGAGCTCAAGCAGTTTGCCTGCCTCAGCCTCCCAGAGTTATGGAGGTCTTTTTAGATGGGAGATACGTGGTATCTTTTTCCTCCCCCATCATTAGGGTCACCGCTGATACTCCTAAAAGACAAAAAAATAAGAGAAAAGCTTAACAAATTTATTTAATCCAAGTTTTTTTGTGACTGACACAGGACCCTTCAGAAAGGACCCAGGGAAAACTGTTTTTATGCTCAGGTTCAATGAAGAATGTGTAGAAATGTGACTGAACTAATGGTGACAGACTGAGAGTGGGGGAGGAACCAAGCAAGGCCTGTCTGTTCAGACTTCTTGGCTTCTCTGAGTAGCATTCCTTCCTCCAGGGTATGGGACAGAGCTGTTCTGGAATGAGGGTCTTCAAGGGAGAAGGTTCCAGTTTCTATGACCTGCCTTGGGGAAGAAGAATTCTGGTTTCTATGACTCCCTTCAGGGAGAAAGGGTTGAGAGACCTTGCCTCATGCCTTCCAAGCATGTCAGAGGCCACACTTTGACAGTTTTGTGTCTCTTTACATAGACATGATTGATTAAATCTCTGGCCACTGGTGACTGAACTCAAATTTCCAACTGGAACCAGGGAGAAACACCAAATATTATATCACATTCCCTATCCTCAGCCCTGAGGGCCTGCCCCATTTCCCAAACTGCTTCCCACTTGGCTACCTTTAGTGAACTCTTTGTATCTCAAAACCCTTTGCAGCAGCCACTGCATCTGAGAAGCCTGCCATACAGAATCCCCTGCCTGAGTTCTCTCCAGCTGGGGGGTTGAGGGATGTGCCCCAGTTCAATTCCAACTCCCTCAGACTGAGGCCCCTTCAGGGTGAGCTCAGAGCCAGAATCTTGGCGTTCCCCCCCCCACCCCCCCAAGGTCAGGTCCTAAGGCCTTGTCTCCAGCAAGCGTTCCCAGCTCTCCACCTTTTGGGCTGCAGTGGTGGAAACTTTCCGGCCTCCAGCCGTTTGTTTTGGAAAGTTCCTGGGGGAGCTGCCCCCGCCCGCGGCTGGGTTCCCACGCTCCCTTATCCCTTATCGCTGCATGAAGGGGCGCCGTGCTGTGTCGGCTTCATTCCTCCTCATTCCTTCCCAGCCCCGCCAGGCCCCTCCCTTTCCCAGACAACCACCCTCCCTCTCAACTCATCCCCACCGAGCCCTCTTGCTACAGGTGGGGAAACAGGCCCCACAGGTCCCATCCCTGTGAGTTCTCTCGGACGCAGTGACTTCGCCCACCTAGAGATGGGAGAGGGCATGAGCATTCGAGGATGAGAATGCCTAGCGGAATTACTGTTTATGAAAGGGGAGTGGGTAGCAGCCTAGATGGGAGGAGATTCTGGCTTTGAGGTTCGAATCATCCCTGATCCTCTGCCTCAGTATCCCCTGCAGTGTCTCGGACCTGAGACGCCCCCATCCTGCCCTGATCCACCCGACCTCGTGGCTGGGGCCCATCGATCATTTGCAACCTCATTCTCTTTTGTAAAATAAGAATAAACGATTGTACGCCCCAGGGGTTTGCGGTGCGAAGTGAACCAGTGCACGCCGGCTGCTTCCGCTAGACGTAGACCCAATGGCCAAGGTGGCTCCTGAAAGTCAGGGCCCAAACCCCAGGCCCTAGATTTCGCGCCCCTCCCCCACGGCGCGGGCGTGTGTGGGCGTGGCAGGGGCGTGGCTGCAGAGCTTTTCTCCGGAGGCCGCGCGCAGGAGAGGCCGCGCTGTCCGCCGCCTCTACCCGAGCTGATTCTGCGCCGGTGAGTGCGTTCCCGGGAGGAGTGCGGGTTCCCGGGAGATCCAGCCCGGCTTGACCTGGCCGCTTAGTGAGCCTGCTGACTCCCTGTTATCCTTGGGACCCCTAGCCCGCTGCGATGGAGGCCGCCGCCCAGTTCTTGGTCGAGAGCCCGGACGTAGTCTATGGCCCTGAGGCCATTGAGGCTAAGTACGAGTACCGGACGACGCGCGTCAGCCGCGAGGGCGGTATCCTCAAGGTGGGCGAGGGACCAGTGGGATTAGGGGTTCCGGGGTGTTCGAGAATTTGCTGATTCCTCAACTTCTCCAACCCCGTGCTTGCCAAGAAGAGAAAAGGGATTCTCAGGCTTACTGCACTGCCTGCCTCCAGGTGCACCCTACGTCCACGCGCTTCACCTTCCGGACCGCCCGGCAGGTGCCTCGGCTTGGGGTCATGCTAGTCGGCTGGGGCGGGAACAACGGTTCCACACTCACCGCAGCTGTGCTGGCCAACCGACTGCGCCTGTCCTGGCCCACGCGCACCGGCCTCAAGGTGAGGGCGGTGGGGCTCCAAGAGAGGGGAGGGGGCAAGAGGGCGGGGCCAGCGCTGGGCGGGGCCTGCAAGGGCTGGCACCGAGGAGGGGTTTCCACGAGGTAGGGGATGCTCAGCGGCCATCTCACCCACCGCCTCGCAGAGGGGCGGGGAAGTTTCCGCCCTGGCTGAAAGCCCGGAACTGAAAGCGCCCAACAACAGGGCGGAGCTTCAGGGTCTGGAGCAGGACCCTGGTAGAGTCTTTTCTCCCCCCTCTCCTCTGTGTCTGCTGCCTCACAGGAGGCCAACTACTACGGCTCGCTGACTCAGGCAGGGACCGTGAGCTTGGGCCTGGATGCCGAGGGCCAGGAAGCATTCGTGCCTTTCAACGCACTGCTGCCCATGGTGGCGCCCAACGACCTCGTGTTCGACGGTGGGCGTAGCCCTGGGGTGGGAGGGGCGGGATCGGAGATGGGGTCTGGTCGGGTCCTGGATCCAGGCGGAGCCAAGCGTGCGGGTTCCCCCCAGGCTGGGACATCTCCTCGCTGAATCTGGCTGAGGCCATGCGGCGCGCGAAGGTGTTGGATTGGGGGCTGCAGGAACAACTGTGGCCACACATGGAAGGCTTGCGCCCGCGGCCCTCCGTCTACATCCCAGAGTTTATCGCCGCCAACCAGAGCGCGCGTGCGGACAACCTCATCCCGGGCACACGCGCTCAGCAGGTGGTGCCCCATCCTGGATACCTTGTTCCTTGCCATCTGTTCCCCATCACCTATTTTCCTCTGCCTATTCCTCAACTTTTGCCCTATCCCATGAGTCCAGGCCCCACTTTACATTCGGGGATCTCAGTGGCCCAGGCCTCTGTAGGTCCGGGGGCAGGGTAGGGGCCTGTACAACCTCCCCATAACCCACCCCCAGCTGGAGCAGATCCGCAGGGACATCCGAGACTTCCGGTCTAGTGCCGGGCTGGACAAGGTCATCGTCCTATGGACGGCAAACACGGAGCGTTTTTGCGAAGTGGTTCCAGGTCTCAACGACACAGCCCAGAACCTGCTGCGCACCATCCAGGTAGGATCACACCAGGGTAGAGTGGGGTCAGGGCCAGTCCCAAAGATCCCTCTCTGCTGACTACCCGGCTGTGCTCACAGCTCGGCCTGGAGGTGTCACCATCTACTCTCTTCGCTGTGGCCAGCATCCTTGAGGGTTGTGCCTTCCTCAATGGGTCCCCACAGAACACACTGGTACCTGGCGCACTGGAGCTCGCCGGGCAGCGCCATGTCTTCGTGGGCGGAGATGACTTCAAGTCAGGCCAGACTAAGGTCAAGTCCGTGCTTGTGGACTTCCTCATTAGCTCTGGTCTCAAGGTGTGTGGCCTGGTATTGAAGAGACAGGACCTGGACCCCCCAGCACCTGGTTTGTATGCCACAGGGCCTGGAGCCCCTGAGAGGTGTCGTTTGTATTCTCAGACCATGTCCATCGTGAGTTACAACCACCTGGGTAACAATGATGGGCAGAACCTGTCAGCACCATCACAGTTCCGCTCTAAGGAGGTGTCCAAGAGCAACGTGGTCGACGACATGGTGCAGAGTAACCCAGTGCTTTATGCGCCCGGAGAGGAGCCTGACCATTGCGTGCGTGGGGGGCGGGTGTGGGTGGGGGACATCAGACAGGGGGTCGGTGGGGACCTGTGCGACCTTGTGCCCCATCCCAGGTGGTCATCAAGTACGTGCCCTATGTGGGTGACAGCAAGCGTGCGCTGGATGAATATACGTCAGAGCTGATGCTAGGAGGAACCAACACACTGGTGCTGCACAACACGTGCGAGGTGCAGTGTGCAGGGTGCCTGTGGGGGAGGGATGGCCATATGCTCCCTACCTGCCCTGCCTTCTGACCTGCCTACCCCTCAGGACTCTCTGCTGGCCACACCTATCATGCTAGACCTGGTGCTGCTGACTGAGCTGTGCCAGCGGGTGACCTTCTACACAGAGGAAGACCCAGAGCCGCAAAGCTTCCACCCTGTGCTGTCACTGCTCAGTTTCCTCTTTAAGGCACCCCTCGTGCCACCAGGCAGCCCAGTGGTCAACGCACTCTTCCGCCAGCGCAGCTGCATTGAGAACATCCTCAGGTGTGCCCCAGTTTCCCAGGGCTGTGCCCAGGGCCTTGTGGAGGACCTGGCCCTGCTGAGCTCTCACTCCCCCCCACCCAGGGCCTGTGTGGGACTCCCACCACAGAACCATATGCTGCTGGAGTACAAGATGGAGCGCCCAACCCCAGGCCTCAATCAAGTTGTGCCTGCAGCTGCTGGCTACCCTGAGCCACACAAGAAAGGACCAGCACTCACTGCCCCTAATGGCTGCACAGGTGACGCCAATGGGCACTCACAGGTGCAGGAACCTCAGACACCCACCACCTGAGGCTCTGGTCATTCAGCTTCCCAGGCCTTTTTTCCCTTTGCACCTCAGGACCTAGCCCTTCCAGACCCCCCAAAGACAATAAAGCTGGTACCACCATTCACCAGATTTCTACCTGTGGGTTCTTGATGCCTGTGACTCAGTTGCACCTTCTCTACCATCTCCAGCTCTAAGGGTCTCAAGACCAGGCTTCAGCCCCACCCTGTTTTTCATAGCTTTTACCCCAAATCTTGGGGACTTCACAGATCCTGGAGCTTCCCAGGCTGCCAAGGTAGGAAGGTTGCTGAGTGGGGGGGAAGAGCAAGACCTTAGGTGTAGTAGTGGCTGTAAAGCAAAGTGAGGGAAATCTGAGACTAGTTACCAAAAACAAAACCAAGTTACATTTATTAATGGGGTCCACCCCCACTGCCCTCCTGGGAAGGGGAGGCCCCCAAGGAGCCCCTATCCCTGGACAAAATACAAATAGCAGGAAAAGGCCTATACAGAAAAGAATGTCTCTGAGGTCCTTTCATTTTCTTGTTTTTTATAAAAGAGAAAGTCTTTGAAGTGGGGCCTCCCAGCCAGGCAAGCCTTGGTAGGCCATGAGTCCATATGCCCGAGATCACACCTCAGAGCCTCACCCCTGCTCAGAGCACTTGGAAGAGCCTAGGCGGGCAGGGGGCCAGAGGCCCATCACACGCTCATGGTCATCCCTGGCGAGTACTGCAGAAAAAGGGCAGCGCGCAAGGAACTGGCTTAGCTCTGGAACAGGCTGGGACCCGCCCCCGAGGGGAAATGGGGGACAGGACAGGGCTGGGCCGGGTCGTGGGTGGACACAGGGAAGGGACAGATGAGGTTGGGCTGATGTATGAGGAAGCCGCCCTGGGGCGTGGGTCCTGGGGTAGGGTTAGATAGAGGCAGGACAGTGAGGTACGGGCAGGAGTGAAGGGGGTGGGTTCAGGGGAGGGGTTAGGATGCCGCGGCCGCCCCCCCACCTGGCCCGCCGCGGTCACGGTCTTGCTCTGGCCCCCCGGCCGCCCCGCCGAGGCCTGCCTGCCAGGCCCCTCCGGCCCGACGCCGCCGCGGGGGGGGAGTCGACGCAGTCGCTTACGCTTTCGCCCGGGAACGGGTGCAGGAAGGTCCCGGTGGCCGCCATCTCGCCGTCATCCCGCGGGGTGCCCGGGGCGTTGCTCAGGCCGGCCACGGCGCCGGGGGAGCTCTGGGGGCGGCCGCGGTCAGCACAGGACTTCCCACCCCAAGGGCCAGGCCCTGCCCCCTCCATCCCCACCCCACCCTCGACCCCCTCAAGGCCCCGCCTCCAGCAGGAATGCAGCCCCCTCACCTTCGGCAACCCGTCCATGTCTCCTGAGCCTGCAGACGGACAGATGACAGGCTCAGACCGACAGACGACGGCCACCCAGCTCACTCACGCCTGTGCCGCTTCATCCACCCGCCAGGAGCCTCCTCTATCCAACCTCAGCAACCCCTTCCCCGTATCCCAGGAGCCCAGACCAAGTCACCCTCCTGAGCTGCCCCCGCTGCACTCCCATCCCCAAGCCAGCTCGTGGGGACGTCCTAGGGAGTTCCAGTAGAGGGGACACGGGGGCGGAGTGTCAATGCGTCCCCGTAGCTTAATTGCTGGGCACTGTAGTAGACGCAGCCAGTCACTGACCGCGCCCTACGGGCCGGAGAACTACACGGACGCCTACACTGCTCTCCAGCAGAAGGGCGCCAGGGGGCGCGCGAGGCCAGCAGCGCAGGCTCGGAGGGGCAGGGGCGGGGACCCGGGACGTCCACTCACCCAGGGATCCGTTTACGTGGTGAGGTTCCATTGCACTCATAGCGGCCATGGGGCCCTCTGAGCCTTGGCCGAGTGGGAACTGAGGACACAGAGGCAGCGTGGGACCCAGGCCGCCAACTGCCAAGCGAGGTCATTGCCTTGGGAAGTACCCCTGCAGTCCCCACTCACGTTAGCCCTGCCGGTGCCCGGCCCAATTGGGGGGTTCATGATGGTGTACATGTTCTCGCTGGAGTTGGTGGAGTCTGGGGAAGACGCAGGGAGTGAGAGGCTTCCCCCAAACACAGCTCCCATCTTCCTCCACCTCCCATAGGCCATACCTCCAGGGCTAGGCATAATGGGTGTTCCAGGGGGCCCACCTCCTGAGGGTCCCTGCACAAAAAGAGAGACAAAGAATGAGAAAGGCACCTCACCTGCCATCCCACAGCCCTACATGCAGATCTCCCAGCCACACCCCAACTCACCGTGTAGCTGCCAGGTGATGAAGAGGAGTAGGGGATCTGGGAACAGGGACAGCTGTAAGCAGTCAGCCATGCTGCTCACCCAGCACCACTGCCCACTCTGCCTCCCCCACACCCCCACACCCCCACCCTGAGACTCACTGAGTTGCCACTGGGGCTGGCCCATGGACCACGCACTCCTGCACCCCTGGAAGACATGATAGATTGTTAGACCCTGGAGTTAGATCACACAGTACACAACCCCTTAGTGCAGCAGACGGTACCTGAGACATCACCTTGGGCTCCAGGGTTCTAGTCCTTACCCAATGGCCTTTTAGCCATGAGACTAATTGCTACCCTAGGCCTCAGTTTCCCCACCCAACAGTGACAGTGAACTAAACAATATTCAGGACTGTCTTGAAGATTCACGACCTGTCCTAGCAGACCCAGCCCATGAAGCTGGGTGCTGGCCTTAGCAGTGGTGGACACATTCCTGGGGTCCTTGAGGGCCTTACATGTTCATGGCAGGCAAGCCTGGACCAGCAAGGGAGTTGAGAGGGGGCCGCATGCCACCTCCATAGCTCTGTGAAGGCAAATGGGCTGTGAGGAGGGAAGGAGGTACATTCCCTCAAGCCACATCCCCCACCTGGGCCCAGCTCTTACCTGGGGCCCAACGCTGGCCATGCCCCGTGGAGGTGTAACCCTCTGCATTGGGCCACCCATGCTCGGATGTCCTAGGGTACAGCCAGAAAGGGGCTCAGACCTGGACTGCTCCCCAACATAAACACAATGACGAGGCAAGGCCAAGGCACTGAACTTATTAGCTTCCAACTTAGCAGAGTGGGGAGACAGCAACTAGAGCTTCCCTACTCACCCTGAGCACGTGGGGAGGAGTCCATGGCACCGGAGAGGAGAGGCTGGGAGCCAGGGAGGCCCACAGGAGGCTACAGAGGGGGCATAGTGGCACTGAGTATGGAGTGTTCCCACCCTGGCCCAACTTGTCCCCCCCTCATCCCTCTCTCACCTGACTCGGCATCCTCAGGGTGGGCCGGGGGCCCCCTGGGAACCGCGGTGACATGAAGGGCTGGAAGAGGTGGGGGGGATCAGCACCTCCCCCCACCTTCTGGTACCCCAAAGTTACCCCATTCCTTCTATGCCTGGGTCCCCATCCTGGATCACCCCCTTCTCCAAAACAAGCCAGCCAACTAGCCAGTAGAGGGGGAAGAAGAAAGACAATGGGGATCATGTGTTTTAAGTGGGGGGATGCCACAGGTCCTTACCTGGCCATGAGGCCCCATCATAGGGGTGTTGGGGTTGTGGGGGGGCAGCTGGGAGCCAGGGGGGCCCTAGGAGGACAGAACCAGGTGGGTTGGGGACAGTGAAGTCATCAGAAGCCCTGCTGAGCCTGGCCATGGAAGGGGAAGGTTGGCCATTCAATGGGACAAGAAGCTCTGCAGGAAGGGTCTGAGGCAGGACTAATGGCACCAGTGGTCACTAGAACCACTGGTGGCCACTGCATCTTCAAGCACTCCATCCTTACACTTGGGGGCCTCTTCCTGGCTGGCCTTGCCACGGTCCAAGTGGACAACCCCCAATCCAACTCCAGCCTACAGGCCTCAGGCCCTCTCCCCATGTGGGGGCCCCCACCCTTAGCCATACGTTCACGCAGGATTGGGGAACAAGGGGTCTCAGCCTTAGCTGTACCTGGAAGAAGCCGGCTGCCATGGGGCCTGCAGCCATGGCGTCGTTGGGGGCCATGCTCCCCATCACGGGGCTGGGCGTGGCCACAGCACTCTGTAGTAAGGGGAGACCCAGAGGGCCTGGTGAGGATACTTCCTGCTTGGGGTCTCACCCCTTCTCTCTGCAGGGGCCAGTCCCATGAGAAAAGGAGCTGTCAGGTGATGAAGGGAAGACTTGAACCCAGGCCACTGGACCCTCTACCCATGTATGGTAAATGGAGGAAAGGTACACAGGTAGAGGAAGAACAGCTGCCCGCATTTCCACCCCCACCCCAGTTAAGTCACCCTGACAGGCCTCTGACCATGCCAGCTTGGAGTCCCAGTCATGAGAAGCATCCAGCCTGAGGGTCCTGTGGGTCTGAAGGGCCCAGGATGCCAAGCACCTGTCTCAGCCAGCTCCTAAAGGAGGCCCTCACGCTAGGCCCACTCCAACTAGGCCCATGTCCTCTAGGCTGGCAGGACAGCTTGGCTGGGCCCCCAGCTCTACCCAAGACACCCCAAATAAACAAAGGAAAAAATCTATCAAAAGTTCTAAGATGAACCTCCCAGAAGACTCCTCTCTGAATCTCCTGGGCAGACCTCTGTCCCATCCCACCTGCCTCTTCCTCCAGGAGGGAGGGAGAGCAGGATCTGGGGTGGAGTACTCAGGTCCTCAACCTCCCCTCAGACAGAGTAGGGGAGAAGACTGGGTGCTAGAGAGGGGGATTTCCATGTATGGGAAGGGCAGTGTCTCTGGGGGCAGCCCAGGGCAGGAGCAGGCTGACAAGCCACTTCTGCTGGTTCTAAGTCCCAAACCTGTCTGCTTCTGGGGCCCACAGGGAGAGAAAGAAGAGGAGCGTGGGGAGGAATGCCCAATCTACTAGGGCAGAGGGCCACATCTTAGCATAAGGAGTGGGGAGGACTCGTTTGCTGCCCTGTGACTATAGTGTGTCTCCATCATCCCCTCCCCAGCCAGGCCCTGAAACCCAAGAGGAAGGAGATGGGCTGTCCCCTGGGCTCTGGAGTTCACAAAACTGCAATCACACAGTGTTTCCTGCCCTCCAGGAGTAGAGAAAGGGGCCCTTTGGCTGTAACAGGTCCCTTGGGGATACCCTCCTGCTACCTGCAGAACTCCAGGCTTGGCCCTCTTTCTGCCCTTACTTAAGGGTCAGCCTCAACAAGGATACAGGGAGAAATCTCTCCAATCCACCACAACTAAGCACACTCAGCACTCACAAGACCCAGAGCCAATCATTTGAAAGCCACACATCCCTGGCCCCCATTCCTGTGCCATATTCCCAGTTCCAAACTCTTAGGTCCCCTCTGGGCTATGGCCCCCATCTCAGCCTCTGCCACAAACACAAAGGCCTGGAGCAGCTGGGTTCACAGGCTGCCTCTAGCTAGACAGGGGGCACCTCTGGACCCCGGGCTGTCCACTCTGCAGAAAGCAGGGAAGGGAGTCCCCCCCCCCCGCCCTTTTCAGGACACAGCAGGCACCTAAGCATTTCCTAGGGAAGTGAAGAAGAGGAGGTGGCTGGGCACTATGCTCCAAAGAAGAAGGAAGTAAGGCTCAAACCCACCCTTAGCCCCTCATGGCTCCCCAACTCTAGGCCCTGAGGACTTAATCCAGAGCCAGTCCTCTCCCTGGCCAGTGGCCTGGGCTGGACTCCCTAATCCTCACAGAGGCACAGGCCCCTCATGTTGCCGTACAAATAGGCTGGGCTCTTATATTTCCTGGAGACGCCAAAGTGGTTACTGAAGTCCAGGAGCCAGAAGACAGAGCTCCCATTTGGATAGCCATGCTATAGCAAGAGACCCCCACTATGTAGGAGCCAAGGACAGGGAACTCCTTCCCTAGTTAGAACAACAACAGCAGCCCAGCTCAAAAGATGAGTGTCATGCAATGGGACAGGCACCCTGGGGCCTGGGCAGCCACCTCCTACTGTGCCCCATTCAGCCTCCTGATGCCCTGCACTGCCATGGTTAACTGACTCAACATGGGCAAGGAGACATGTTCATGTTCATGGCCGGGAGCCCTTATCTGACCTCCCTGCCCATGAGAGGGAGGTGGGATGGGGAGTCAAAGAGGCTGTTAGACCTAGTCTGGAGCTGGAGTGAAACGGGAGAACAGAGTCCAGGAGACACCATGGAGGCATAGGGAGGTAGCTCTGGAGGAATGAGAGGGTCATCCACAGTGGGCACACAGCTCTGTTGAGACTAGGGCAAGGGGACTGCACAGGGACAGTGGGACATCATATACAGGGAGTGATACTGGGGGAGAAATCAGCATGGTATCTCCACTGCCATGCACAGGCATACAGCATATAGGAGGCCTCTGTTCCAGTGAAGGGGAGGGTGGGCAGGACTGGTCCCACAGGGGAGAGCCGATCGGGCACTTCCCTCTAAGGGCCTCCTGCTCTGCAGGAGCCACCTTTGAGGGGCTAGGTGGCCAAATGCCAGGGATGAAGAGAAGGGCTGCCACCTGCTGCTCATGACAACATGCCACCCCTCATGTTACCTGCCCCTACCCAGCCTCCTCTCCTGACAGGTCTCTCACCCCCTTTCAACCCAGATGGAAACAGAAGTAAAAACCCCAATCAGGAGCAAGTATCAACAAGTACTCTAGTGCTGATGCCATTAGAAGGCCCAGAAAGGCTGGGGTAGGTGGACAGTTCCTCCACTGTACTTGAGGAGGAGGGGAGGAAGAGGTGGCACCCTCCTCTACTGCCCCAAGGGGACCCTGAGGAGACAGGTGTGAGCCTGGACCAAGGGGAAGGTGTAGGGACCCTCCAAAATGGCCAAGATCCCAGGTGGCACCCTGCAGCCCTGCCCACCCCAGCCTCCCTCAGGCTGTGCAGCTCCCCCCCATCCTGGGCCACAGGAGTGGGGACTCACATAGTCCTGGAAGGCCTTGGCCTCACTGGAGTGCTCACATGCCTCTCTGCGGTCAGGAGCTGCACAGTACAGGTCCCAGAACACACTGGAGGTAGCAGGGGAACGAAGGTTGCTCCAAGCCCCACCCCTGCCTAGCCTCCCTCCACAGTACCCCAACAGCCCCACACGCACCACCACCAGGAGTGCAGGAACCCAGGGGGCTCCCCCAGCGTGATGTTCTTCTCCCATCGGATCTGCAAGAAGAGGGAAGGATGTGAGGGGACTGCTCCCTGACCCTCCTCACCACCTAGCAGTGCCCAGAGAACACAGGGAGTGAGCCTGGTTGAATGGAGGGTCCCAGGCATGCGCAGAGGCAGATCCACAGATAGGGAGACAGATGCCTAGACACCAGCCCACAGGCCCTGACCCCATCCCACCACTCAGTTCCCAGGGCCAGCAGAGGGGCAACTCCAAACCACACCATCTAGGAACCCAGTGGGAATAGGGTGGAGGGGCTTAAAGAGAGGCAGGAGGAGTTTACCTCGGACAGAAAGGTCTGAGCTGACTTCTGGGCACCAACGTGCAGTAGGTACTCGTACACATACAGTGCCAACCTGTAGGGCACAAGGAGGTCAGGCCAGCTAAGGCTCTCCAGGGGCCCAGGGCCAGCCCTGAAGCCCTTCCCCTGGCTCTCAGACGTGCAGGTGGAGGATATAGATTCCCCACCAGTTGCTCAACCTGGACAACTCCTACTCATCTATTAATACTCTGCCTATAGGCCCATCCCAGGTATCCCTAACCCCCAACTGCAAGCCAAATTCTGCTCCATTAAACACTCCCTTGGGCACCAAGTCCTGGCCCCATCCTCCTGGTGCTGACAACCTAGAGTGGCCTGAGCCCTGGGAAAGTCTTCTGCCCAGTCACAGGTGTCACTCCTGACTATACCAGGTGAGGAGTCCCAGTATGCCCAGAGACCACTGCCTGCCAAGGAAAAAGGGAAAGGGCCCTCCCCTTCTATGACCCCTCACTCTATGGGTGTCCCTGGTCCCCATCCTCTTCCTTGGTATTGGGCCCATCCACCAGCGGTGGCCACAATCTTTCTAGCAAACTCCCCCCAACAATGCCCCTGGGAGGAATCTGGGAAATGGGTTTGAGGAGGTAGGGCCAGCAGTGCCACACAACTGCTACAGCATCTCTGTCCCTAAATTCCCACCATGCCCTGTGAGTCCCCAGCCTGCCAGGGAGCCCTGGAGTTGCTTCCCCAGCAACTATCCACCCCAAGAGAATAGGCCTGGTCACATGGGGAAACTGGGCCATCCACCCACCTCCAGTCTACCTGCCATACCAGGTAGCAGAGGGCCACAGTCCCCAGGCAGCAGATTCTCCCAACTCTCTGGATCTGAGCTATACCCTCTTGATCCTCCCAGGGTCCTCTTACTGCCCAACCAGACCATCCGTGAGCCTGTGGGGATGGATGGTGGTTCTGGATCCCAGACTGAGGACTCCCCAAGGGCAGGCCTGAGGGTAAGCTCCCCTGGAGGCGGTGGCAGGCCCTTCCACATGCCTCCTCAGCCTCAGCTGTCAGTATCCCTAGCCAGCCCTGCTGCACTACCCTTCCCTGGCTGATTTCCCTGGCTGATGGCAGCATCCTAAAATAACCTTTGTTTGACTCACGCTCTGCTCCCTCCCAGCCAGGCTCCTTAGGGCTGTAGCCTCATATCTCAGAGCCCCCCAGCTCTCCTGCCCCCATCCCCCAGCCTTCCTATCTACAACCTTCCAGAGTGCCCCTCTGTGCAGTGCATAAGACCAGCCCCTGTCCTGGAGGTCACATGGCTGAGAAAGTGAATCATTTGGCAGGATGGCAGGGGGTGAGGCCCCAGAAAGGCAAAGGGGCAGCGTGAGGGGTCAAGGCAGGCATCTGGCTTAATACAAGGGCCTGGAGCTAACAAGTACCCAAGGTGCAATGACAGGACAGAGGGGTAGGGCACACAGCTCCTAGTGTCAGTCCCCTGTCACCACCCCCAAAAAATACCCAGTCTTGATCACCACTGCATCATGCTGGTCTTGCTGTCAGGAGTTCCTCTAACCCAGGGCCCCCCAGTTCCGACTTCCTACCCCTTCCAAGCTGCATTATTTGCCCCATTTTCTTGGCCCCTCAGCCTCCAGGCCCACCTGTCCAACTCACCTATCTGACTCCCCTCTCTTTCTCGGGGCTTCCTAAGACTTTACCAGAAACTAGTATCCAACAGGATTCATGTTCATCAATGGATGAGCACAAAAGGCCAGGGAGGGCAGGCTCAAGGGAGCAGACCCCAGGGGCTGGCCCCCCTCACCCTCCAGACCCCAGGAGAGAGGCTGAGAGGGGCCAGCCAGTTGCCTGGCAACTTTGAGGTCAGAGCAGTGAATGCTAAAAGCTGAGGGAAGTGAGATACTGAAAGACAGAGAATAAGACAGAGCCTGGGGAACCCAGGCAGGTGCCCAGGAGAGAGGGGGACAGCATGAAGGTTCAAAGTTCTGCTGTGCTGTGGCTGCCATGTGGCTACTCCTTCAGAGGCAAACAACGCTCCTGAGGATCAGGTGAGACTACTGAAGAAGGTGGTTCACCAAGGGCTCTACAATGTCCTTTTCTGTCTCCCCTTAACCTCGACTGTCCCCAGCAGCATCTGACCTGGGATTCATTCCCTAGGAGCCCCACCTGGCTATATTCCTCCCTCTCACCTTTAGCCTCCATAATCTCTACTGCTTTCCCTTGGTGGCTACCCTTCCTGCTTTGATGATATCTTTTTTTTTTTGTAGACAGAGCCTCAAGCTGTCACCCTGGGTAGAGTGCTGTGGCATCACAGCTCACAGCAACCTCCAACTCCTGGGCTCAAGTGAGTTTCCTGCCTCTGCCTCCCAAGTAGCTGGGACTATAGGCACCCGCCACAACGCCTGGCTACTTTTTGGTTGCAGCCATCACTGTTGTTTGGCGGGCCCAGGCTGGATTCAAACCTGCCACCTTAGGTGTATGTGGCTAGTGCCTTAGCCACTTGAGCCACAGGTGCCAAGCCTGATGATATCTTTATACAGCAGCTATCCATAAGGGGCTCTGGCCTAGCCTCCCCTCAAGTAAAGCTGGGGTCCACTGTCAACCTGAAATCTATATGCCCAGCCTTAGCATGCCCCCACCCTCTCAGTTCTTCTCATCACTGTTGACCTTTAAGCCACAGCCCAGACTCCTATCTTCTCACCTTGACCAGATGCCATCAGCTCAGCCTTTACACACACACCCCATCGCAAGGAGCCTCTGGTGGCACTCAGGGTATGCACTTTCATGAGGATCCACCAAGCTGTTCCCTAACATCACTGCACTTACTAAATTAAAAAAAAAAAAAAAAACCACGAACTTAAGGAGATTTCTCTCCTGATTCAGACCTCTCTCCCTACGCCCACCAAACACCTAGTACAGGTCACCTTCACCTCTCACCTGGACTACTACAGCAGGGCCCCTCCAGGAGTTCCATCCTCCCTGTCCTCCCTGACCTCTATAGTCTACACCCCCTCCTTGCTCAAATATTCTTATTCTCTGGCTGGCCCTCCCACCCCAGGGCCTTTGCATATGCTGTTCCTTCCCTGCCTGTCGCATTTGCCCCCAGAGACCCAGTACAGCCCCAGTGTTACTTATCAGAAGCTTCTTCACATCTAAGCCCCCATTCTACTCCATTTCCCCATCAGCCTAGTCATTACCATCTGACATGCTGTGCACTTAGAACAAAGCTTAAGGGGTCCTGGGTCCCCAGTCACGCCCAATGAATGAAGAGAACAACACCTGGACCCCTCTCCGGATGCTGGAAGGATTAATGGAGCAGATTTAGTTAGCTGCTGTTAGAAGCCAGTGCTGATTATGTCCATGTTAAGGATTCTGGAATTTGTCCTAAGAGTGATAGGAAGCCAAAGAAGGTTTTCAGTTTTGCTGATTCCCCTTACAAGTTGGTACTTTTATTATTATTATTATTTTGCAGTTTTTGGCCGGGGCCAGGTTTGAACCCACCATGTTGGTATATGGGGCTGGTGCCCTACTCCTTTTGAGCCACAGGTACCGCCCCAAGTTGGTACTTTTATTTATTTTGAGATAGGGCCTCAAGCTGTCACCCTGGGTAGAGTGCTGTTGCATCACAGCTCACAGCAACGTCCAACTCTTAGGCTTAAGTGATTCTCTTACCTCAGCCTCCCAAGTAGCTGGAACTACAGGCGTCTACCACAACAACTGGCTATTTTTTGGTTATAGTTGTCGTCGTTGTTTGGCAGGCCCAGGCTGGATTCAAACCCGCTAGCTCTGGTGTATGTGGCTGGTGTCTTACTAGCTTGAACTACAGGAGCTGAGCCAGTACTTTTAGTTTTTTTTTTGAGACAGGAGCCTCCAGCTGTCCCCCTGGGTAGAGTGCTGTGACATTACAGCTCACAGCAACCTCCAACTCCTGGGCTCAAGCGAGTCTCCTGCCTCAGCTCCCTAGTAGCTGGGACCACAGGCGCCCGCCACAACACCCGGCTATTTTTTGGTTGCAGCGTCATTGTTGTTTGGCGGGCCCGGGCTAGATTTGAACCCGCCAGTTTGGGTGTACATGGCTGGCACCTTAGCCACTTTAGCCACAGGCGCTGAGCCGGTACTTTTACTTTTAAAACAACTGAGTCTCAGGGAAGAGTTGTGGGATATTTTTGTTTTTGATAAAATTTTTTAAAAGCTGGTTGTTTGGTCAGGGAGTTTTGGAACCCATAGGGCTCTTCCCTCACAGAGGGTAGGTGGCTGGAGAGGAACGTGGGGAGGCTCTGGAGCAGCACACAGCTTTCTTCCAGAGGGAACAGGTGACATGAAACATGCACCAGCCAGTGCAGGAAAGCAGAGACACGCGGTGCTGGTGCCATAACCACCACTGTAATTATGAAGAATAACCATAACAGGTTCTCCCTGACCAACATTCCTCCGGGACGCACATGCTGCTGGGTGCTGAGGCTGCCCTCTGCTCATGGCCTTGGTTTACTGTCTCATCCATCACCAGGCCTCATTGCAGTCCCACAGCAACCCTCCAACTCACAGTGCTCCCTCCCCTCTGCCAATCCTAGATGTCTGGCCTCCAACAATTTCTTGCCAGGGTGGCAAACCCTCCACACTTGCTCCCCTCACCACTGTTGTTGCCATTGCCCCCAGTGGCCAGAGTGAGAACCCCCAATACTGAATCCCACTCTAACTTCTAACTTCTCTGGCCATCCTCAGTGGCTCCAGTTCCCTCCGCAAACTCAAAGACTCTTCTTGGGGTTGGCACCTCAGGAACCTCTTACCTCTTGGGCTAAACCACCTGAATCTATGTGCCCAGCTCAAAACCAAGCCTGGAAGAAAAGCACAAGATGCCCAGTGATACCAACCATGGTTGTCATTTATGGAACTATTCTATTTTGTTTTTTGAGACAGAGTCTCATTATGTCACCCTCAGTAGAGTGCCAGAGTTTCATAGCTCACAGCAACCTAAATTCTGGGGCTTAAGCGATTCTCTTGCCTCAGCCTCCCAAATAGCTGGGATTACAGGCACACCCCCACCCACAATGCCCAGCTATGTTTTTGTTGCAGTTGTCATTGTTGTTTAGCAGCCCTGGTGTATGTGGCCGGCACCCTAACCACTGAGCTAGGGGCACAAAGCCTATGGAACTACTCTAAACCTACTCTGAAGCATTTAAGCACTCAAGGATATACACAAATGTCCTTGTATGTAGCCCACTCAGACCCCAGCCTTCCTCCACTGTGAACCCTCGAGGGCAGGTGCCCAGTCCTTTTCTGGAGCAGGCTGGCCTAGACCTAGCTTGAGAGAGAGGCCGACAAGCTCCAAGAGGAGCTTGAGGGGGCTCAGACTGGGGCCAGAAAAAGAAGGGAAAAATGGAAGGGCCTTATTTTTAGAAGGCAAGAGGCTCAGGCTGGGCCCCCCTAGCTCAATGGTTAGGGCTCCAACCACATGCTCTGGTGCTGGTGGGTTTGAACCTAGCCTGAGCCTGCTAAACATAACGAAACAAAATAGCCAGCATTGTGGTGGACACCTGTAGTCCCAGCTACTTGGGAGGCTGAGGCAAGAGAGTCGCTTGAGCCCAGAAGTTTGAGGTTTCTATGAGCTATGATACCAAGGCACTCTACAGAGGTGACAAAGACAGATTCTGTCTCAATTAAGAGAAAAAAAAAAAAGAAGGCAAGAGGCTCAGACCAGGGGTGAGGAGGTACAGTGCTAGAGAATTAAGGATCAAAGCAGTGTAACCCCTTCACCCCATTTCACAGAGAAGGAAACCAAGGCCCAGAAACAGGAAGTGGCTCGCCAGTGCCTGATATTTCCTGAGAGCTGGGTGGCTGCTGTGTTAGTTGCTCTACCTGTGACCTCTCATACAGTCCTCCTGAGAATTCTGAAAGGCAGATAGTTTATTCACATTTCACATGAGAAAACAAACTCAGGGCCACCAGCCTAACTCTCTAGAGCAGCAGCCTCCACATCTCTCAGAGCTTTCCTGTACCCCAAAACTGAGTTCTTGGCATGTCGCTACTTTCCCAAAGCCAAAGTGCCCCTTTGGTAAAATGGGGAAAATGACCATCTAGTGTTTTCTAAGCTTTCTTTAGCAGAACCCCATCTCCAAATTGGTGTCTATGTGGGACTCTTCATGACGAACAGAAAGGCACAGGACAGCTCTGGCCAAAAATGGGACCCTTAGCCTCCACACCAGGAGTCAAGGTGTTTCTGAGGATCTTGTGTCCTAGGACCAGCATCCTCCAAGCACTTCTGCTGGGCAGCCTAGAGATGAGGGTTTGGTGGGGGGAGGGGGACCAGGATAACCCCCTCTTCTAGCCCTGACCATGTACAGAGGCCAGGTTCAACCAACATCTCTCCCGGGAGGTCTTCTAGGGTCAATAAAACAACTTAAACCCTACCACCCTGGATTAAAATCTATTTTTTTTTTTGAGACAGAGCCTCAAGCTATCCCCCTGGGTAGAGTGCTGTAGTATCACACTCACAGCAACCTCCAACTCCTAGGCTCAAGCAAGTTTCCTGCCCCTGCCTCCCAAGTAGCTGGGACCACAGGCACCTGCCACAACACCTGGCTATTTTTTGGTTGCAGCTGTCATTGTTGTTTTGGTGGGCCCAGGCTGGATTCAAACCCGCCACCTTAGGTGTATGTTACTGGTGCCTTAGCCACAGGCGCTGAGCCAGCTAAAACCTTTTATTCCTTCTCTTAATCTCCATGGCTACCCCCTTAGCACAAGCTGCCATGAGCTCTCTCCCAGAAAACTGTGCCTACCTCCCCTGGGTACTCCTGGCCTCTATTCCTGACCCCTTATAAGCCCCAATCCACATGAGAGTCACAGTGCACTTTTTTTTTTTTTAAAAGACAGAGTCTCACTTTATCTCCCTCAGTAGAGTGCCGTGGCGTCACAGCTCACAGCAACCTCCAACTTCTGGGCTTAGGCGATTATCTTGCCTCAGCCTCCTGAGTAGCTGGACTATAGGCGTCCACCATAATGCCCAGCTATTTTTTTGTTGCATTTTGGCCGGGGTCAGGTTTGAACCCACCTCCCTTGGTATATGGGGCAGGCGCCCTACCACTGAGCCACAGGCGCTGCCCTGCCACAGTGCACTTCTACAAGCCTTCTTGTGGCCCACATGACTACCCCTTCCTTCATCTTAGCTCCTTTGCTTGCTCCTCAGGGCCCTCTGACATGCCTCTCACCCTTCACTATCACCCACTTGCTTTCTTCATACTGCTTTCTTCACATCTGAAGACCTGAAATCAGCCATGGGTAACAGGATCCCTGCCTTCCTGCTAGGAGGTGGGGTTTTTCAGGGCCCAGGCCTGCTGAGCAAGTGAATAATTCCCACCTTCAGACTCAACAGCTGCCTGGAGACAGAGGAGACAGGCCAGGAATGGGTGACCGTATCAGACACCCTCTGCTTCCAATCTAGGTAGAAACCAGATGCCAGTTTTTTTTTGAGACAGAGCCTCAAGCTATCACCCTGAGTAGACTGCTGTGGCATCACAGCTCACAGCAACCTCCAACTCCTGGGCTCAAGCGATTCTCCTGCCTCTGCCTCCCAAGTAGCTGGGACTACAGGCGCCCGCAACAACACCAGGCTATTTTTGGTTGCATCTGTAATTGTTGTTTGGAGGTCCGGGGCTGGATTTGAACCCGTCAGCTCAGGTGTATGTGGCTGGTGCCTTAGCTGCCTGAACCAAAGGCGCCAAGCCAAAGATGCCAGTTTTTGAAAAGTCTTTGTACTAAAGGGTATTTGAAATTGGAACCCAACTTCCTAACTGTGTAGACAAGCAACAGAGGCCAGAGGCCTCTTCTCCAAAATGACCCAGAGACTGGGCAGAGAAGGGATGCTCATCTTTGTGAAGGGGAGGAGAAATCCTAATGTCAGTCTAGGCAGAAAACGGAGGTCAGGAGGCAGAGTCAACCAACATTCAGGGTTTCTCTTCACTCCCCAGATGATCAAATCCTTGATTCTGGCCTAGCCTGAAGGCCTGTCATCAGGGGAGCCCAGTCATCTCTCTGCTCAGTGGTCCACGGGCTCAACTTCCAGGACTCTGCAAGTTGGCCATCAGCCAGTGGTGCCATCTTCCTGGCACATTAACAATACTGCAAAAGCTGGCGGCGCCTGTGGCTCAGTGAGTAGGATGTGGGCCCCATATACTGAGGGTGGCGGGTTCCAACCCAGACCCGGCCAAACTGCAACAAAAAAAATAGCCTGGTGTTGTGGCGGGCGCCTGTAGTCCCAGATACTCAGGAGGCTGAGGCAAGGGAATCGCCTAAGCCCAAGAGCTGGAGGTTGCTGTGAGCTGTGACGTCACAGCACTCTACCGAGGGCGACAAAGTAATACTCTGTCTCTAAAAAAATAAATAAAAATAACAATACTGCAAAACCATCGGCTGTTCTTGTTGTGGGACAGTCAAGGCTCCAAGCACCTTTCAAATGGCACTGTTACTATACCTGCATTTCTCAGGAAAGGAAAGGGAGCCTAAGAAAGGGGTTCTCCCCTGCCCAAAGCCACAGCGCCAGCAAGCAAGCAGCAGTCTAGTTTCAGGTATTTGGCAGCCTCCCCGCCCCAAAGCCCCAGCCCCCACGACCCTTCCTTCTTCACCCGCACCACGGTCTAAGAAGTTAAGAACCTGACCCCTGCCAGCCAGAGAAAGCACCCAGTAGAGCTCATGACCACGCCCAGAGTACTAGTCCCCCTACCCTCAAGGGCTGTGAACTGTGCGGCCTCCTTGGGGGCCCCACGCAGCTGCCCAGACCAGGGCAGACAGGTGGCGATGCGCCCCTCCGTCCCTCTCCTCCCCTCTCCAGCTTCTTCCGAGTCGCCGGGGTCCCCGGGTGCCCACCCAGTCTTGCCCACTCCGGAAACTTCCGCAGAGGTTCCGCTAACCTCTCAAGACCGCATGGATCACCTAGCTCACCCAAGGTTCGCCGCTCGAGGTCTCGGCTACCCTCAAGTCCCACTCAGCTCTTAAGCATCCCCTCAAATCTCGAGCCCTCGGGTCTCGCGCGCCCCCGCAAATCTCGCGACCCTACAGCCGCTCGGGTGTCTTACAACCCTGGAGTCTTGCGCACCCCCTCAAACCTCGCGCCCCTGGGGTCTCCTGTGCCCCCTTGTATGACTGCGCCCTCTCAAACCTAGCTAGCCCTTCACCCCAACTTGACTTTCTAACGCCCCCGCAAATCTCGCGCCCACGGGTCTCGCGCGCCCCTGCAAATCTCGCGACCCCTCGAGCACTCTCGGGTCTCGCACGCCCGCCGCTCGCGCCCACGTGTCCGTGTGGTGCCAACCCGCGCCGAAGCCCACGGAAGCAGCGCGAACACGGAGCATCAACCCCGGTCCTCGCGATCCCGGCCCGCCGACTCACTTCTCGCGGGCCTGGCTGTCGGAGGGCACGGCTGAGCCCTTGCCCCCCTTGGCGTACATGCTGCTCCGCGCCGCCGTCTCCGTCGCTGCCGCCGCCGCCGAGGCCCACACCTGTCAGGCGGCGCCGCGGACCAAGCTCGCCGTCGCCATAGCTACCCCACGTCCTGGGCCTCACCGCCCAGAGCCTCGGGAGGGCACCGCGGGCATCGTCCGCGCGGGGGAGCTCCAGACGGCGACGGCAGAGGCTGCTCCAGCTTCAGCTCCGGCCGCGGGTTTTATTTTTCTTCTCTCTTCCTCAGCGCGGGCTGTTCCGGGAAGCGCGCGCCCCCTCCTCCTGCCGCGCGCGCCCCTGCCCGCTGCTTCGCCGCCGCCCGCGGGCGCCGCTCTTAAAGGGGCGATGGCAGGCGAGGGGGTGGGTCCCGTTGCTGGGACCGCGGGCCTGGCGCGCACGCGCAGTGCTCGCCGCGGAGGTGGAGGGGTTTGTGGGGGGTTGAGGATATACAAACTCAGTCCTTGAATGCGGACGGCAACCTGGGGACACACCGCTGATCACAGTTACACACTAAAAGATTGGCGACCCAAATTGCTGTACACCCAGGAACACAGCCACATTCTTAGTCCCAGCGACTCAGACATAGCACACCCATATACAACACAAGTCCCGTAAAGTATCTGGGTGTGGGGCGGCGCCTGTGGCTCAAAAGAGTAGGGCGCCGGCCCCATATTGGTGGGTTCTAACCCAGCCCTGGCCAAAAACTGCAAAAAAAAAAAAAAAAAGTATCTGGGTGTGTCATGCCACAGAGCCACTCAGGCCCGGCACAAGTGGAAACCGCCACACACCCAGCTCGGCCAGCGACACAAGCACAGCCACACACACAGCTCAAACAATGGCTGTCACAGAACAACTAAACGCACAGGCCACTGCACACGTTGTTGGCACACATCTGCACAGAGACACGCGCTTAGGCAAGGCTATGCCATAGTTTCTGACAGCTGTGAAAAGAGCCCATGCACTCGAGGTCAACCTGGGGCACCCCATCACAGCCTTCTGAGAACTTCGCATGGCACCGGGGTTCTCACTGAACTACGCCCAACCCAGCTCCACAGTCACAAAGCCTGTGAACAGCCGCGGCCACACCACATAAAACAGGCCACACAAATATGAATGTATGTCCTGAGAACCTCCCTGCACCAACCCATCTGGGCGACTGCAGGCTGTGCTTCTGAGCCTCCCTGTTGCTAGCTGTAAATAGGGTGCATCCCATCTCTAATTGCTCCTCTGTGGGATTCTGTGGCACAGACAGTGGGCGCCCCATTTCCCCTTGTGTGCAGGGAAGGTAGGAGTAGGAGTGGATACTGAGGAAGGGCCCCCCCACACAGGGCAGGAGTGCAAGGGAATAGTGGAGACCTGTGTGCTAGGGGACCTAGGGGCCGTGTTGGCGTGGGAGGGGTGTGGGGGGAGGCGATCCACTGGACAATGAATTTAGCTATGAGTATTCTTTTCTCTCCTACACGAGTCCGCGAGGGTGTGTGCGTATGTGTATAAACCTGCGGGTGGGGGGGTTGGCAGGCACCCAATGAATACTCCCTGTTGGGGCAACTGTCCCTTAACTGGGCTGTGGCAGCTGTGTGTCCACAGCGGTCGTGCGGGGCCGAGTCGCCCAGAAGGCGGGGGTGTACAAGTATCTGCGAATGTGCGCGTGTGTGCCTCCGCGCGTGGGTGGATCGCCAGCTCTTTGGGACCTGTGTGGTGTAGCTGTGCGCTCACGTTTCCTGTGTGGCGTGTGCGTGTGTGAGTCTATTTCTCCTAATGCTAGCCAACTCCCAGCTCTGGACAACACTCCTCATCCTCCACCCCTAGCCGTCTGGCAGGCGGGAAGTCTGGAGCTGCGGGGATTCCAGACCAGCAGGAGGAAGGGAGGGACAGGGCCGGCCCCAGCTCCGCCTCCTCCCCGAGGGGCCCCAGAGAGGGACTGGGGACGCCAGTCCTTCCCACTTCCTGTCCAGCCAGCCGCCCCCTCCCCCAGCTTCCTCTCCTGCTGGCCTCAGGGCCCAGGCCCTCGGGAAGGAGGGGAGGGCGCTGAGTACTAATAGGGCTGCCAGCTTGTTGTCTACTGCTGGGGGAGTAGGGCCACCGTGGGGTGTGGGTTTCGGCGTCAAGGGCACCCGTAGTACTAATTACTGCTCTCCAGCGTCTACGCACAGAGAGGGTGCGGCTTACTCGAGTCACACAGAGCGTTGGTGACAGCCAGGGAGTCTGGTAGACACTTCTTCCAACACCCTCCATTTATTTCCCAAAGCTCCGTGGCCTTCTCTTTATCCTGTGTGCCTGGTTGGGTCCCTCGCCCTCCTTGAGCCGCGGTTCCTAGAGTCAGTGTGAGACTTGTTCCACCCGCATACACGTTTATTGAGCGACAGCTGTGTGCCGAGCTCTGAGAACCCAGTCAGGGCATGTTGCTTCCTCTCAGCGGAGCAGAGTGTCTAATGAGGAAGGCAGTCAAAAGGTGGCGAGTCAGTAGGATAATTTCAGGGTGTGCCACGTGCTGGGCTTTGGGAGGGACCCCGAGTGGACAGACGCGGTGACGTGAGGTCGGCCAGGTTCCTGGAGAAGGGTGGAGACGGAGGCGGAGGGAGGAAGGTGACAGGCAGAGGCGACCGCCGTCCGGCGTGCGGCACGGGGTAGGGAAAAGGAGGCGCAGCGGGTGGGAGCGACAAGCTCAGTTCTCATGGCAACCGGGAAGAATTTCCAAACACAGCCTGGGCGCCCGCGGGAAAGTATGAGCAGAGAGGGCTCTGGGGCCCACGCGGCGTCGGGAAGCTGAGCTGAGCGCACGCCTTGCGGGGGCAGAACCCACAGTTAGGGTCTTCCCACTCATTCAAGGAGAGGGCTTGGCTGGGTGGAAACATTTTTTTAATAAGGGAGAGGGGTGGACCTGAAAGATCTGGAAGCAAAGAGTTCATATTAAAGTCACAGCAAGTGCAAAATCTCTCAGGTGGGCACACAGAGTTGGAGACAGATGTGGCTGGAGTCGAGGGAAAAGGAGGGAGGTGATGGCAGAGGAGCCTGACCATGCCCGGTGGAGACGAGTTGAGATTTGTTCTAAGCACAGTAGGGAGCCATGGGAGGGTGTGGAGTTCCGCGCCATGGGCAGAGAGGTTGCTCGGGAATGGGCCCAGGGAGACGGGCTTTGGGCAGGACAGGTCTGGGACTTAGTGCGGGCCACTAGTGGGCCAGCCCTGCAACCCCTTCGCCGGCTCCGGGCAGCACTCCCGTACAGCTGCGCCGGGACTTCAGCCCTCGGCTGGGTCTCTCTGCTTTTTGGGGTGGGTGGTAGTGAATCACCCACCACCGACGTCCCACAAGCACGAGTCGAGGGCACAGCCCTAAGGAGACTGTGCTTATGGGTCAGGAGGACTTCCTGGAGAAGTGGCTCTCACTCCCCTTATGGCCCTACATTCTTCAGATCCACCCTACACAACCCCACCTCCCAGCTTTTGCAGTCGCCGGTCTTGTAGCCTGGAGAGATCTTTCTCTGGCTCCTCCAGCCCACCGTTCCTCCTCTTCCACCAAGAGGACAACAACCTCTCCCCTTCCACACTCCCTCCTCTTCCTCTTCTTTCTCCTTCCATCATTCCCGGGGCTCCTCCTCCAGATTGTTTCAGCTCTGGCCTTGGTTGGACTTGGCACTGTTAAGATAAAATAACGTGGGAGGCGCCTGTGGCTCAGTGAGTAGGGCTCCGGCCCCATTTACCGTGGGTGGCAGGTTTGAACCCAGCTCCGGCCAAACTGCAACAAAAAAATAGCCTGTAGTCCCAGCTACTGGTGAAGCTGAGGCAGGAGAATCGCCTAAGCCCAAGAGCTGGAGGTTGCTGTGAGCTGTGACACCACAGTACTCTACTGAGGGTGACAAAATGAGACTCTGTCTCTTAAAAAAAAAAAAGAAAAGATAAAATAATACATCCAGTTCTCAGCTGGTAGCCTCACCTCTCTGGGTCCCATATGTCTGAGGACACCATTGTGGGAGGCTATGCCTGGTTGTTGGAGTTCTGGGGAGGAGGCCAGGTTGAGTTTTCCTGATGACGTGTTTTTTTCTCTCTATAGGAGGTGGAAGCAACCCTCTCACTTCCAACTCATTAAAGTGGGGGACTCTGAGAAGGGCCAGAAACCTGGTTGGCAGCCCCGGAAGCCCCTCACCAGTGGTGCCTGCGTGGGAGGCTGGTGCAGCTGGGAGGAGGGGCTGAGCTATGAGACTGTTTCCTCCTTGCAGCTATAATTATGGGTAATTTTCTAAATGCAACACAAAAATTAAAACCCAAACAACACCAGAATGGGAGCTTTCATAGCAGCTGGTGGAGGGTCATTGAGACAGCTTCACTCCTTGGACAGACGTCCCTTAAATCTTGGAGTCTGGGGTTTCCTAAATGAGGATTATGCCCTAAGATCAAGACTAGGGTTCATAGAGGCAAAAGTAGCCACATGGAAGATCTGGGCCTGGGTTTACCTTTTTTTTTTTTTTTAAAGCCACAGGCCAGTGGGGCTGGATTTGAATCCTAGCTGTCCCATCCCACTGTGTGGCCTTGACAGGGAGCCAAGTGAACTTCAGTGACCTCTCTGAGTTGTGGGGTATCATGCCACCAAGCCCACAGGGCTTCAAGGGACTCTAGACAAGAGAAGGGACACGGAGAGCTTGGCCAGTGAGGCTCAGACAAACCTGCCGCCTCCCGCTCCCATGTCCATCTGCCACAATACTTAACCCAAGCCAGATACACTGCTCTTTTTCTAGCACCTCCTGTGGCTCCTGCTGCCCACAAATCAAGTCCTCAGCCCTACACTTGAATTCCAGAATCAAACCAATCATTGGGACCTCATGTATCTTATAACATCCTGCCAATTGCACTCTGAGGGAGGAGGCAGCATTTCTTCTCCCTATGTTACAAATGGGGAAACTGAGGCACAGAGAGGCACCAAGGGAGAGAGTCACATGAGTGACCCAGAGGCAGCACTGCCTCCAGCACCTGAGTTTGGGATACTCATTCTGGGAAACTGGGGACATTTTGTGGAAATCCCAGCCCTGGGGGGAGGATCAGGGAAAAAGGAATTGGGCAGTGGGTCTATAACAGCTGCTGGTCACCCCTGTGCATGCCACCCAAGCCCCACTACATGGCTGGACTCCCCACTGCCAACTCGTCATCTATATTCTCCCCTCTCATCTATATTCTCTCGTCATCTATATTCTCCTCTGGCTCTAGGAATACCCTTTCTGGATGCACCAGTGGCTCTAAGGTCTCTAAGGCAGCCCCAGCCTCTGCTATCTACCACCTTGCCTGCTCATTGGAGCCCCCCCTGTGGGGTTCCTTCCCCACTGGATTTCCTGGGGTA